AAAATGATGGGTGATCGGAAAAATCTGAGATCATTTTTGAATTCAACAGTTCATTACACAAAGGAATCGATGTATCACACACCGGAGACATTTTTAAAATGAATTTCGAACACACTTTGAGTCCGGCGAAGCTTTTACGATACACAATTTTAGGCTCGGAAAAATCGGCTTTAACGGAAATCTGAAGTGTGATAGAAAGAAACCGAGGTCATATTCGGATTCAGCAGCTCAAAATACAGAGGCAACACACTATCACGGGTCCAGGAAAATTTATAAAAATAAATTTCATGCACCACATATAAACGTCGACTTTGCTCATTTTCCCGGGAAAAAGTTGCTTTCCCGGAAAACTGAGAGATGAACGGGAAAAATTAAGGTCATTTCCGGATTTGTCAGTCAAAAAGACATCGGCAAACGTGATTCTCGTAGCTACGAAAAGTTTTACCTACATTCTGCAGGGGATAACAGTAGGAGATACACCGAAAATGCCCAAAAATGGCCACTTTTCCGAGTAAAATCGGTTTTTCCGGAAAATCGGAGGGTGATGGAATAAAGCGGAGGTCATATTCGGATTCAGCGCCTCAAAATACATTAAGATCACCTTATGTCGTCCAGGAGACACTTTTTTCTTTTGGTGTGTTGTACTGTTTTATGAGGCATATATCGGAGGATGGACATTAGCGGTTTTCGCATGATTCGGACCACGGCCCCCCCTGAAAAGGGATTCAAACCCAAGGAACAAACATTTTCACCACATTAATGAGTGTGTCTGACCTCTGAGAGTATTTTAACCCAAAAATCTCAAAATTGAAAAAAATGGACATTAGCGGTTTTCGCACGAGCCGATTCAATTGTGATATTGCTAGGATATTTTTGGCAAAAGAATACCTCAGTTCTTCGCATAGTAGATTATATAAAAACTATGAATTGTTACCTCTGCTGCCCCAGCCGCCGCCACCTCGACCACGTCCACGACCTCCATAACCACCATATCCACCTCCATAACCTCCTCGTCGGAATCCTCCACCGAATCCTCTGCCACCTCCACCAAATCCACTGCCACCTCCGCCAAATCCACTGCCACCTTCTCCTTCAGATTTCATCATTTTCTGTGCAGGGCCACCATCTCCTAGATGCGCTCCATCTCTTTGCTGATGCCTGAATGGTTGGAAACTGCAATCACAAAAAAATCAATGAAAGCCATCATTACGGTTTAGTTCGGAGAAATTTTTCCTCACAAATAGTTGCTCACTACAGTTCTGTTGAGAAAGACAATGAGCAACTCCGTGTCTCTGTAAAATCATGTTAAAATACGAAATAATGTTTGCTCGGTCATGGATGGAAAAACACATGTTGAGCTTGAGCAAAATTTCGGAGGCTCATTCTTTTAAAATAATGTGAACAAATGAAAATGTAAGTGGCAGAACAATATACAGATTCCCGGATTGATTTTATCAGATGTGTCAACTAGTTGAACGATTAAAAGGCTAATTTCACTCAGTTAATTTGTTTAATATGAACTATGATACTGTATTGTCACTGAGACAATGATGCAAGTCACTGAAAAGCTTTGGTCTATATGATTTAATTGATGAATATTTGATGTTATGTTGAATGAGTTTAAAGGAGAATGTGAAACACGTAATTTAGTTACCCTGTGAGTCCTGCTTGGTCAATTCCAAAACTGCCTGCGTCAACTTTGCACAGATTGCGCACTAAACTGAGGACTTTCTCATCCAATGGTCCGACTTCTGCAAAAGACTCAGGTTCTTTGGATGCTCGTACAACTAAACTTTCAATGGCTGGTCGAAGAGCAACAAGTGCTGCAGCAATCTCTGGATTGATATTTAGGTTGATCCTGTACATGGAAAGAATAAAATAAAATTAGAGATCTTTTTACAGAAATTCATGACTTACCAATTTTCAGAGCATTAAATCTTGTTATTCTTACTGATAAGGATGATCATTGATGATATCAGACTACATACATTCAAGCTGAGTCTTGGTTATTCTTGCACTACCAACAGAGTGGAACAGTGCACTGCATTAGCATCTGAAGCACTGAAATTTTTTTGGCTGAAACTTTGAGCATGAACTGATTTTTTTAACTGATTTGGGATTGTGCAAATAATTTTTGAAAGCACGCTTTTTCATCCCTTTTAAAATGATTGAAGATAAGAAAAACATTGAAGTCCCTGTGGACAAAACTTTGAGATGAAAGAGTGAGATTCTCAGAAATACAAAGCTTAGAATCCAAACTGACTTAGATTTTCAATCCAAAAGTACTCAAGATTTTAATGATCTTATGGATCCCCTCATTCCATAAAATATGAAACCCTTTGATTTAAGATCTAATGAATGGAGGCATTACAGTAATATTTAACCAAACTATACTAAAATTATTAAACAAGAAAAAATAGAGGGAAGTTGAAATAATCAGCAAAGTAGCTCACCAGTTATCCAGGCGAATTGTGTTTTCAATATATTCTACTTTTCGAGACCCAAACAGGAGTAAGTGAATGGGTGTTACCATTGATGTTTGTTTGCAGGAGACACATTTTGTGCGAATCTGAAAAGATTAAAATTTACGACTTGAGGAGAAACCAAAAACCTTTTACTATTTTTCTCTTTTTCTCTCCATTTTCCTTACGTTCCTAAGTCTGCAATCGGTTAGTGCTTACTGACAACGCGCACTGACTATACAAATAAATGGTCATAAAAGAAAAAATTGGCTTAATTTTAATGCTCACCTGAGTATAAGTTTTTCATTTAGATACGCTCAAAGTTCAAACTAGGGGCAACATATCAGCTAAATTTTTAATGACAAGTTAAGGTTGTTGGTAACAAAACACTACCTTCATCATGGAGACACTCTCCATTACAGAAAACTTTCCTCCTTCCTACATAAATTGTTAATATTTGTCGAAGTATTACAGGCAATATTTGATCACATAGGATCATCCACGGAAAAAGGAGCCCTAACCCCAAAAAACTCAAATTTAAGACGTTATTACCACCATAGTATTAAGGAGTGTTCTATGGGCATTTTAGGACAAGTATGCCCAAAACTGTCAGATCATAGCAGAGTTACAGTGTTTTGAAATTTCCTGGTCAATTGACAAAGTTTCATGAACAATCTAGTTTAAAAATCGAGCCTGCCATGCTCAAGACAGAAAATTATCAGATCAAAATACAATTTTTTGCTCTATGCACAAAAAAGAACTAAAGTGCTTGTACATCATTCTTCAGGACGTTTGAGATATGTAGTATCATTCTCCAGGACGTTTGAGAGAGTATTCCGTCAAAATTTTAAAATACCATTTTTTGACCCAAGCTAACCAAAGTTAATCTTATGAAAATTTTCCCCTAGAGGACAAAGTAAACAGTTTGCGTGAACAGTTGCATATTTATATAGCTATCCAAATTTTGTGCGTTTTTGAGAGAGCTTTTCTGCCGGTTGCCGATATCAAAAAAATTTAGGTAAAAACCGGTAAGATTAGTATGTTCACTTGTTACTTTCAAATGACCCAATTAAAAAAAAAGACTCAACAGGTACATCAGTATTACTGTGACTGCTGAGCGGTAATGACAACTTCATGAGCCCCAAAGAATTCAGTTTTCAGAAAACAGTTTGTGGCTATCTTCTTTATCATTACGGGAAATACTTAAGAGCATAAATTCTTTTTAACTTACCTTTTCCTCAAAGATGAAAAAGGGTGATGGAAACTTGATATCTTGTTTGCTGAAGTTGACAGACGTTTTGTGCATCAGGGCATCCTTTGATTCAGTTGTCAGTACTTTCCTTTTTTCTTTGTGGAAACATACATTGGGGTAGAGTCCAACACAAAGGAGGGCAATTAACATGTCAAGTTTCGGATCTGCGCCAGAAACATCATAATGATCTGGAAGGAATGATTCTTCTGGGAATCCAATGTTGATCATCAAGTCTCGTAACTGATTCTGAACAATGAAAACAGGGCATTATTCTTTATTTGCCGACATGCAACTGGCTCCTAGTGTTTGTGATAATTACTTGAAGGAAAAAGTATTGATGGCACTACTCATTTGAAGCAGATTTTGAAACAGCAAATCCTTGGTTACTCGAATTACTTATTTATTATGCCCTGGTGCTCACTTACCTAGGTTTAGAAGCGTTAGCGTTAGGTTTTGAAGCATTCATACAATTATAAAAAATTTTCAAGGAAGGGGGGAGATGTTGTTGCAGGCCGAAGATGTCTCCACTCTGAGTTTTCAGTGAGTTTATGCACTTTTAAAAAATGGATATTTGCAAATGATCGCATATTGTGTAGATTGAATGGTAGATGATACTGTAAGTCAAGTCTCTACAAAAACTGTCCTGTTTTTTCATTGCATAAGAATGAAGAATATCTGAGGCTAACCGGTGGAAAAGGTATTCTTCCCAGAATTTCCGTTAAATTTTTTTACCAAGTTTGAATGTTTAATGAGCTCGTTTAAGGAAGAAGAAAAAACCTAGGTCAACCAACAAGATCATACTTGGAGCAAGGCGATCAGTGTTAAGCGGTAGCATGACATAACAGCGCCTCTATTAGACCAGCATTTGATCAAAAACATTTGATGAAATCAAAACTGAAAGTAGGAGAAATGGTTGTTTTTGACTACTAAAAATTGAATTTTTTCGAAAATTGAAGAGTGATGGAAGAAACTGAGGTCATGCCTGGATTTAGCAGCAAAAAATATGAGAGTGGCTCCATTGACTTAATCAAATAATTCATGATCAGATGCAAATCACAGGGATTAACTGTGCATGGTACACAACTGTACAGGTAGATTAGAGGATTAAGTTATTGGATGAGGAAAACTTTGTCATCAGACAAGCAAAGAAAATGATTCACTTGGCATGTGATACATGTTGACCTGTGTATTTTAAGCTCTTAAATTTGAAAATGATCCTTGTCTCTGTCTGCTATACACCAATATCCAGGAAAAATTATTAATCCTTGAAAACCCCTGTCCGTTTAGGCAGATTTTTTCATGAGATTGGTGGTTGTAGGGAAAAAAATAAGGTCATTTTCAGACTTAGGACTAAACACTGCACTGGATTTTTTTCTTTTAATCCAAGTGTTTTGAAATTTTTTTTTTGCAGACCTGTGTTATCTAGATCTTACAGTTCTGATCTGTAGATGTTACAAGAGATGAAAATATACCTTAGCTTCAGACATTATTCGCAAACTGGGTAGAGAGAGCTGCTTGCGTTCACAAAAACCTTCTTCTGCAGTTGGTCCATGACGGTTACGTACGTTGTCCCACTGTTGGAATGCATTTAATCTGGCCACATGATCAGAGTATCGATTTCCTGCCATATTTCTTTGTTGGAATGATAAATATCGCTCTAGAAGATGAAAGATCCAATGAAACATTACAACAAGTTATTGATGCTTACCTATCACATTACTGTTTCACCATACAATAAATAGGAGATATGTGTCAGAGTGCCAAAATTTCAGAAAGGTTCTACACAGAATTTCTAGACGTTTTGAAGGTGAAACCATTTTTCCTTCCTCCTTCTTGTCTTTTGTTCTCGAACTCTTAGTGCTTTGCTTTTTTGCTAATAATTTCTCTCCAAGTAAGAGACTCTATCTCCATCAAAAACAGATTTTTAACATCAGAGGTTTCTTTCAGTAGACGAAGAGGCTCAGTGACAGAATGAAGAGGATACAATGAGGATATAAGTGATACTTACCGACTTCAAAAATGTCTAACATATTGGAGGAACTAGCAGCTATTGTCGTTGCGGCATCACCAATGAAGAAAATGGATCCCAAGATTAACATTTTCCCAAGACGAGGGTCTAATGGTAGCTTAGCGAGGATACGACCAAGTGGCGTGAGCTCATCATTCTTGTCCAAACATTTCATTTCTTGAAAAAAACAACAACAAAAAACAATAAATTAGAGAGGACAATACATTATAAAATTTACTTACAGGTGTCAGTACAGCAATTGGTGCTACTTCCTCCTTTAAACTTATATTCTGTTGGAAAACAGTTTTAAAGCCAGGTTTTCCTCAGACAGATGTGGCGGCTTTCCTATTTGAAACCACATACTGCTTTGGATGCAACAAAGCTGTGCTGTTTTGAGGCTTCGCCAGCCATGATTAACATGTTCAACGCAATCAAATGGCAACTGGCAGCATGCCAAGCAAATATGGAGGAAACCGTGGCTGAAGGGGTACTTCCACAGAAAGTCGTGAAATAGTCTTACGCCAGGGCAAATTGTTCCTATATTGCTGTGCAAGATTCTTCAACACCTTGGGAGATGTAATTGCATAGAAAACAGACAGCTTTTACGTTATAAACAAACACCATGCGGTAGCTATTTAAGTGCATACAGCAACAATACCTATGCATAATGATTATGCAATATTTAGGTGTATTAAATACCTCTTAACAGGACTTCAGCTTCAATCACAGCATCGATTGGTGGGGGCTCAATAGCCTTGGAGAGGAAATGTCCAATACCGCCGAGGCGTAGCAGTTTAATTGACAGAGCAAGTTCGTGAAGTGGAGTCCTGAACATTTCAGGAGTCATGTGGTTGGGCAAATTTTCATAACGAGCCTGAAGTAAAATATGAACATATTAAAGCAAGAAAATGCTCACATTTATATGCAATAGCAACATTGTTAATACTACAGTCATAAATCCTGTAAGTTGTGTGGCCTGTAAAGATCTATTTTTGCAAGGTGGTAGAGGCCCAAGCTATTAGCACCTGTCAACTTTTCCAAATTTTGAAAAAACCAGAGTTCGGCCGAAGTAGACTGTCCACTTCCCTGGATACAGATACCCGATTTTTTGTTCACAGCCGGACACTGGATAATTCATCCGAGGTATTCGGCCTGAACCGGAACATACCAGATACAGGTCAAGCTCTTTCGAGTGAGAAATATGTCCTAATCAGGCGACTTTAATGTGTTTCCATCCTCAAAGCTCAGAAAAGAAATGAAGAAGAACTGAATTTAGAGTTAAGCTCTTTGCAGTTTCAAAAAGTAAAGTATTATAATTATGGTAGTATTACTTCTGAGGGATATAAAATTAGGGAAAAAGTACCTTGGTGCACAGATGAAAACAGTATCCAGGCCTCACCCGACCAGCGCGGCCTTTCCTTTGTTCCAAGTTTGTTTTTGAGGCCCAAACAGTTGTATATGTTGTCATATTATTGTGTGATGTGAAGAGTTTCATTTTTGATTTGCAAAGATCAACTACAAACACGACATCGTCAATCGTTATGGAAGTTTCAGCAATGTTTGTTGAGAGAATTATCTGAAAAATTCATCCAAGTTTGAGACTCAGCAATAAGAAATGTCACATTATCTTTTTTTAGACATAATAAAGAGTTATTAATTATCTAAATTTTAGGGTTACTGAATATGCTTATATGTAATTTGTATTTTCCTTTCTTGCATTTATAAATGATGAAAAGTCCGAAAACTGGAAACAAAAGAAAAAGCTACAAATGTTTAGTCTCAGTTTTCCTTGGTTCAACAGAACTTGCATCAGATAATTTGACATTAGTTTACTTTTGACTGACATGCACACTCAACCCATGAAATGTCTGCATGCGGAGACAGTAACACAGTAATCATCATCATTGGTCGCATGCTCGTGTCAGTCAAAGTTAGACAAGTGTCAACTTACCAGAGACGAGATCAATCAACAATTCCAATAGCGAAGCTTCTTAGATAGTGACCACAATTTCATTTAAGCAGCACTTTTCCTTCAGTTTTGTTCACTGAAAAATCCTGATGCAGCATGTGTATGAAATTTGGAAATGCTGGAAATATTGCCAACATTCTGAACTATAATCAATCTCTTCAAGTAAAAATATGAGAGATCGTAAGTAAAGAAATCTAAAATAAGAAAACCGTTAGGATCCATTCAGCAAAAGAAGTTAAACCTCATCTAAGAAATTCACTAGACTATTTGAAAAATTCTAAATCCCTATTTTCTGTGCAAGCAGCGATAATATGAATAATTTCTAACCTTAGTGACGTTGGGAGGGACAGGTTCAAATACACGCCGCTGATCTTCTCTTGGAAGCTGAGAATGCAAAGGTAAAACGCGATACTGCTGCCCACCTGAATCAAAGACATACAAAGGTAAGTAACACTGCATTTTCTCTACTTAAAATCCATTATAATAACACGATTCAGTCTCTATTTTACAATTAGTTCTCTGGAAAAAAACAGAACTACCAATGACTTCTCAAAATGATGGAAAAAAATAGAATCACTATAAAAATTAGCAAAGGTGCTAACTCATGCCTTGCTGAAATCTTACGAACAGGCCGAACCTCTCGAGGAAAAGCAAAATAGGAAAAAGTTGAGTTTCTCATTATTATTTATTGCATCAAATGAATTCTTTTACTTGTCAAATGCTCCTTGTGTTGTTATTTTTCATGGTGATAGAAAGCAGATACGGACACATTTTCTCTTTTCCTGACAGGGCCAACAAACAATATTTGTTACTTCCAGCCACTATTAATTAAGCAATGGTACTTGTTAGGAACCGTGCTTAAGGATGTAGTACTGAATTAAAAATTACTCAGAGAAAGGCCTCAAGATGGGAGATACTGGGGAATATTTACACAAAAGATTACTATTTTGTAATCTGACTACATGAGTTAGTAATGGTAAAAAGAGGGTATTATTTTCAAGCTTTTAGGGTTAACACAAAGGATAAAATAGAACGGATAAAAATTGTTTCAAAGGAAAACTTTGGGGTTTTAGAGTGCTTGAGAGAATTGACCAAACTGTTCAGAAAACCATACGCAGAGAGGGAAAAAGGGCAAAACATATCCTTGTTATATGACTCCAAAACCCAAGGTATGTAGATCGCTACAACCTGAGGAGATACAAACTTCAAACAGGGTTTGTGAACAATTTTTTTTTTTTTTTTTTCATTCCATGATTTTTTCCTGACTACTGGATAAATTTCTCTGAACAAAGCTTTATCTGTGTTTAGTTCATTGTTTTACTATGTGTTACATAGATGAGCTAAAAAAACGGCCATTTCAGGTCACAGTAATTTATTTGCACTGTCATTCATTCATGTATACAATTTTAGTGCAACTACTGCTATCACCCCAAACGCAAATTTAAACATTCACTGTGAGAAATAACAAAATTAAGATTTGAATTTAAGGGGTTGAGCACAGATGTTTGTCTGAGGAGAGAATAAAGTGTGTTCATGAAAACTAGGGCTGTGCGAGCCTGGTTTTTTGGATTCGAGCCGAGTTCGAGTATTTTTTCACTAAGTCGAGCCGAGTTCGAGCTTTTTCGAGCTTTGAAAATGACCCTCGAGCCGAGTCGAGTTCGAGTAATTTCGAGTTTTAAAACGTGATTTAATCTATTTTCTACAACAAATAATTTCAAACAAGACTCATAATATGATATTAATAATTATTGACGATGACACACTAGGAAGGATTTACACTAAAATTACAAAATGTTCGGCAGTAACGCGTTAAAATAACTTCCCGCGGTTTAATTTGAAAAGAGGACAAAACTTGGCAAGAAGCGGCGTGGCGCGGCGTACATCAAAGGAACTTCGGGCGGCACAAGTAAAGGCTTTAGAGCCCATTTATACACGCAATTCGTGTCGCCGCGACGTTTTTTGGAATCGCGCGATTCCTATTTTTGTAGCCGCAGCACCTTTTTTCTGCCGCCGCGACACCGTTTTTCTGGAGCGCAAAAGGTCCAAAACACGTGGTCACTTTCAGTTTTCCAAGCGGCGGTCGCCGCCGCAGGTTGAAATTTGTCGCGCGCATAAATGCGCTCATATGACTCCGTGTAGTTACAAACCGCGCGCGCGGCAGGAAATCGCCGGGCGGTAGCGTGTTGGCGCTGCGGATGGTAGAAATTTGCCGACGAGACTCTGATGTTATTCAATCTTAAAATGATGGCAAAACTAACAATAGTTAAAGTATGATTGAAATGTTTGGAAGTTGGACTCTTTCGGCGTTTCCGGCTCAAAAAAACTCGAAATACTCGAAAAAACTCGTGTTGTTGACACTCGAGCCGAGTTCGAGTACTCGCTCGAACCTAACCTAACTTTCGAGCCGAGTCGAGTACTCGATACTCGGCTCGACTCGACTCGAAATTCGAGTACTCGCACAGCCCTAATGAAAACATACATACACACATTTATGGGAGATAAGGAGGAACACGTACAGATAAAAGTTATATGCATACATATGCCAAAAATAAATAAGCCGCACTCATAATAACAAACTTTAAATCAAATCTTAAACAACAGATTGCCCATACCATCAATCTTTGGTACAATTAACTTGTACATTTGTTGAGTAGCACTCATCAGATCAGTATTAAATACATCTAAACCTTTTTTTATTGTGAAGTGAGACAGCTCAATCTGAGCTAAAGCTGAAGATATCTGGTATATTCGTGTTTTAAAATGGTCGACAAAAGAAAACTGGGAGAGAGCAGACTTTATTTCAAGTTCCAGAGGTCTTGGAACCCATGGAAAAAGGTTAAAGTATCTCGCTTCAAGATTCCGGGCGATGTAATTAGGATAGTCAAAAGGTAATCCCTTGTCAATATTGACTGTAAAACAAAATATCTATTAGATTTTTTTGAGCATCCTGCATTGTACGTTGGTAACATATGTAATATATGCAGTAATATAGTTAATATCTTTCTTCTTCTTCTCCTTTCTTTCTTTCTTTCTTCTAATTTTAAGTCACTAGTGAAAGAACAGATTTTGGTTTGTTACTAAGCATGTTCTTTTTAGCCCATTTTGTTACATATATTGTTGCCTTTGTTATTATTTTTTATGTACTTGGGACTTGTCCTGTTGAAATTTGAAATAAATAAATACATAAATAAATAGAATAAACACAAAAAATACAAATCTTTACTGAAAGCTGTAAAACTCAGGTTGCAAAAAATAACAGTAAGATCCAAAAATTTCTAGACAGTGATGGCGGCAATATCAGACAGAGTAGGCCGATTAATGGAAAATTGAAGTAGCCTGATAAGACATCAAAATGCAATTTATTACAAGATAAAGATAGGGCTATGCCTTATCTTGTCGTCAATAATCACCCTGCAGGTCCTGTACCGAATGGATAATTCGTCACCTTCCAGGCAAAGTATCACAAGCGCCATGCGACGTTTAAAAATTTCCGCCGCCATTTTATTTCTTAACTGAGAAATTGTTCGTTGAATCTGTTTGGAAATTTCACTAAATTTTATCGGCAGCACAAAGAAAATTCAGTGAAATTTTCGGACAGCTTCGTTGAACAATTTCTCTGTAAAAAAATAAAATGGCGGCGGAAATTTTTAAACGTCGCATGGCGCTTGTGATACTTTGCCTGGAAGGTGACGAATTGATCATAAGCAGAAGACTTAGAAGTACAATTTCGGTGCAAGCCTCTCAAGTTGTAAATTTACATTGGCTCAAAACATCAAAGTAATCTACAGGTAGACAGTGCTCTTCTTTCCAGGCACAAACTTCGTCTATCCTTAAGATTTTCACAGAAAAATAATATTCTGAACAATTAGGAAGTAGTGCCATAAAAACATGGATCATGTCAGAGGCAGCATCTAGCATAAATAGACATGAGCTTTAAAAAAAAATATTAAGTAGAAAGAATTAAACATTGTAAGATATTTAAATTTGCACAGAAGCCAAGCATACAGCCAGAAGCTGATAGACAGAGCAAGCTAAATGAAAAAAAAAATAAAAAAAAAAATGGAGAAATACTCTCAGTGAACGAGCGACAAATACCAAGGTTTTACAGTATATTTTTGTATTATAACACGTTGTGAACATTAGTTTTGAGTAAGCTCCTTCTTTAGTTGAGTTGAAAAAAGGTTACAAGTAGAAACTTTTCGAAAAGATTAAAATAAATTGAAGCAATATTCAACAATAGGCTGAGGCATAAATTTGATAGGATTGATTTGATTTAAACCTGCTTAGAGGTACGTACTGAGCACAGCTTGAGTATAGAACACAATTGATGGTTACTCACCAAAAAGAGGATGTTGAAGTAAATGTCTCATCAAAGCAAAGATAACATTCCAACCAGGCATAAATACCAAAACTGCTCCATCGATATTCATATTTTTAATGTACTTCAGCAATGCCTGTAAGAGAATGGAAATGAAAAGAGTCATTCACAAAATCTGAACTCATTTATATCTTGAAAGATTGGTCTGTTGCAATCTTTGGCCAGAGCAAAAATATGAGATGTCTCTCAAGAAGGATAGATAAAAAATCATTTTGAGGTTCCTCTTCAAATAGTAAACTACGACAGAGACATACTTTGATACAGATTAGTCACCCAAGTTTCACAATAGTGCAAAAGTCAATTTGCGATCATGTGACACAGTTTTTCAATCATAAACAAATGATGAAACAAACGCCTTTTATACAACATCTTTATAATCCTGCTTTCCAAGTTGCCTCTAATAACAAGGAGTGCTTGCGTTGCTTGTATTTATTTAACGAACTGTGTCATGTGACAGCAATATTTTGAGTTTTACGTAGAATTATCAAACCATATTGACTGTGTCAATTTACATTTTCACCCCCAATAAACTTTATAAGGCAGGAAGCTTAAAAATGCACAAAGAACTAAACATTGGTGAAATAAAAGCGAAGTGAAGAATACAATTTAAACTTCACCGATGAGCTCATAAAAGATTGGAGCCCTTTTCTCAAAGAGAACTCAAGTTTTTGCTTCGGCTGAATTTTGTAACATACCCATTAGAACTGAGTTTGGAGATTCTTTTTTTCTTGCTGAGGTAGAGTAAAACTTAAAGCACTAGTCTGACGTAGATAAGTCTTGACTCCTAACAAAAATTTCAATGGCCCAAGTTAAATTTTATTTGGTGAGAACGGACTTGTAGGGACATGGGGTGAATGCTCAATATGAGTTCCCATACAAGTCAAACTCATTCTTAGTCATGCCGCAATGTGACTCAATACGGTTGATTACATAAATATTGGAAGACAGTTTTATCCGCAACTCCTTGTTCTAAACAACCACTCATGAAAACTTAATATAACAGAATGCCTAAAAAGGTACCTCAATCAGCTCAAAGCTGAACTCCCGCTCACTCATTTTGGCAATTGATCGCTGAGTTTCTACCGAATACTCATTAGAAACAAGTTTATTTAGCTTCTCATCTTCTGGGTCAGCAGGAGCAGTTTCATCATCTTTGTCTTTTTTCTTATTTTTGTTCTTTCTTGTATCTGGCGGAGGCACAAATTTTAATTCCTCTACGCAATCTTCCAGCCAAAATTCTGAAAAATACAAGATAAATGTCATTTGTTGTCATAGAATCTGCCTTTCGTCAATCATAATAATTACAGGCAAAATTTAAAACTGAACAAAGTAAAAAACGTATTGGAGGCAAAAACTTCCCTAAAAACTTGTCAATGTTTTTGATGAGAATATCAGTTTTATACTGAAAAGTAATGCACATTGGCAAAATCACCAACACTCTGTTTAAATGTTTTTAACCTCACACACTAAACTAGTTAGAGAATATTTTGAATGCATTAGAGCACTAAAATTTTACTACTAGACTCAACTTCCTCATCAATTGAGAGTCCGGAATAAGTGGAAAAATTAAGAAAACTCATGATATTAATCCTCTCATGTATCCGAGAGAGGGGAATCGGCAGCAGGGGGGCCATGGTAAGTTCAAACATGCAATTCAAGAATGGAGTCATGGATGTTAAGGAGCAGAGTAATACAATGAAACCAATCGGGCAAAATGATAAGTTGGAATAAAAAGTTGACAGGAAAATGCAAAGGTCTGAAAGAAAAACTGGCACTTTTGCACTTCAGAAATTATTTTTTGTTGCTTTCAAGGTTAGAATCCATGGGTTAGCTACGTTTGAACGCACCGACTGTTTAAAAAGGACTGAGTAGAGAGAGAAACAAAGGTTATTGGAATTGAGCCAGAATTGCATTCTAGAAAGAACTCTCACTGCCAGTGTTGAGGGCAATTAATGATTACACACACTGAAAGATCAATATAAATAGATGACAATGCAGCATTGATTACAAGTATTTACCTTAGCTTAGTTTTCAGGACTGCCTCAGAGAAGCATTAAAAATTCCTTGGCATTCCCTTGTTTGTGGTTATTTTGTTGATTAATTATTATATATTTTGGATATTTTTGTGATTTATTTTTTTCCCCTCTCTCCTTTCTTCCGTTTTTTTAATTTTTGGTACGATCGTATTGGGGTAAGTGCTTTTTCTTCTTCATAGATTCGTTGCTAGAAAACATACACTCTCAGCTACTTCACAGGATGACTGGTCATTTACTTTGGATCAAGTATATTCACTGGACATTTCAATCTCCAGAAAATTCTCTGCAGGCATTCATCTATTTATTTTTTCTTTCGGAAGTGAAAAACAAAATCAGTTGTACTAAAATAATAGAGGTAATAGCATTAAGCAGATAATGTTGGAAAACTACCGGTCAGCTTTTGACCGGTACACTGTATTTAAATTTTGCTATGACTGGTAGATGAGATGTTTATTTCTTCCTGAAATTAGACTGCTTCCCTGAGCAAGGTGTACGGTATAGTTGAAAAAGCTAACAAAGGATTTAGCTAGAAAAATACAACTGAAAAAATTTGAAACTCCGCTTCAGATGGGGGGAAAAACGCTTAGATGATTAATTGGAAGGCAGTGTGATGAAGAAAATTAACATTCCTAAGACTGATTCCTTTCTTCTAGAAACAGGAAATATACCTTTGACTGGGAAGGTTCTGCCGGGAACTTCAATAACAGGACAGTTGTTGAAGTAGTCACTGAAAAGTGTTGTATCAATTGTTGCAGACATAAGAATAACACGCATGTCAGGATAGGTATGGATCATATCTCTTAGGATGACTAATATGAAGTCTGAGTTGACATCTCTTTCATGGATTTCATCGATGATGACATGTGATACTCCTCGAAGACCACCTTCCAGTTTCCGTAAGAGCACTCCTGAAAAGACAAACAAGTGAGAAAATTCAAGGATTCATTCTTAGCCATAAAATTCGGTAAATGCCTCTTTTGCAAGTAGCAAAAGTTTTGTTCGAACTTTTGAAATGTAAACATAGACATTATAAAAACAGATGATCTTAACCGCATAACACAGAACCAAAAATTTGAAGTCTGAGCACCTCCTGAACTGAACAAAGGGAGAAGTTCTCATATTTGCAATTTCCAGGATGTAATTTTCCGGTTTGGGAGGAATAAAGTTTTTGAACTGCTTTTGCTTTCTTTTCAATTATTTGTTTTTTCTCTAACTTAGAATATTGGCAAAAATAGTTCACTTTTACGAGTTGAGCTTCAGGTAATGAAGAAGCATTCAATTTTTCCATAATGGGCCTGTTGGAAACTTCAGGCAGAGCAAAAAGAAGAGTGGTTTCTCATAGAAAATGGCACAAAAATTACGAGGAGCTCAGTGGAAAAGTCTGAAGTACACTCTTAACTTCACAATCAGTATAAGAAATATGCGTTTTTTAAAGCTTCTCATTTGAAAAACAATACTACGGCACAGGTGAACATTTCGTAAAAGGAGTCATTTCTTCCAACCCTTATGCACCAAGATCCTACGCAATATTCAACATGGCCTTAACCATCCTGCCAAAACACACGTGACAAGGCAGGATTTAATCAACCAGAGTATTTATACTTTTACTATCCTTGCTTTGATAAAGACCACAGAGTTACCTGACGATTTGCATGCAGGAACGTTAGCCATGTGAATATTGTGTAGCATCCTAGTGTGCAAGGGTTGGATGGAACGACTCCTCTTACAAAATGCTCACCTGTGAGGTACTGTCATTTTCAAAGCAGGAAGCTTAAAAAAATGCATATCTTTTGCACAGATTGTGAAGTTAAAAGTGTATTTTCGACTTTCTTGATGCGCTCATTGAGATTTTGGAAAATCCTTAAAAGAAATCGGTTAACGAAAGTCATAAGGCAATAAAATTTCTAAATATGTTAACATCTCCTTAACATTACACTGTCTGAATGTTTGAGGTCAGATTGAAAAACCAAGAGAGTTGAATAAAAATGTTTGACAGGTAGCTTTTAGGACTTTAGTAGCTATTGAGTGATGAGATTTCATCCAAATTGAAAATTAAGGGAGTTAGAATTTATATTTGACGTACCAACAGTGCAAAACATAACACCTCCATATGGACGAGGCAAGCAAGACTCAAATCTGACGCTGTAACCAGAGCTGACTCCAAGCTCTTCTCCCCTTTCATTTGCCACTCTATCTGCGACAGAAATGGCGGAAATACGACGCGGTTGAGTAACCACAATATTACAATAGGCGCCTTGACCGGACAGAATGTAATCGTCTAGAATGAACTGACAGACCTAGAACAAAATTCCTTCCTATTAATCAATGATTAAATTACTGAATAAATGATACTTTAGTCTGTTAAACAATTCTGTAAATGGTAAGTAAATTAGTTAAGAGCATCTTCAACATTTTTCTCATCTCCTATCATAGTATGATCCACATTAGTATAAAGACATGGTTTATACTAAATTTTTCTAACCAAAATCAAACTGATACTCTATTAACGACTCAATACTAAATTTTTAGAGTCTAACAAGGGGAACTTACGGACCTGCCGCCTCCGATTGAGCTGAATTTTTTTTTACAGACTCTATGGACCAATTCTAGAGGTCAATTTGAGCCGTTTTCCCGAATGCGCAATGGGAAGGGCGTAAAAAATTCCCAAAAGTTGCGTTTTCGGCGTGTGATTTGGTCGTGCGGCGCGTGGCAACACTGAAGCAGCCTCTAGTACCGCTTTATCGGCCTGAAGGTTTCAGCGGAGTCCGGAGCCCTACTGCACACGTACTGGTTCCATGATAGTGATGTCCCGGGTTCGATCCTCAACTTTTTATTTTCCGCATGATCACGTAACATTTTATTTTTAATTCTTCATCCGCATTTATAAATCAAGCAGTTCCGATCACTATCCCCCCTCCCTCATTTTACGTACATTTTCCCCCGATATTTATTCACATTGGCCACATATAATCGTATGAAACTTCACTGATATAAATTAATGAATTAAAAAGCAAAGGGCTAAAATAATGTGTTTCTTGGTGACCCTTGCATGCACATGGGTTTGGGGTTGCTCTTCGATTTATTTACACATTACATATTTTTCCAGGAAAAAATTTGAAGATAATGTAGTGACAAATAAGGTTTTTTTTTGCTTTTTAATTCATTAATTTATATCAATGAAGTTTCATACGATTATATGTGGCCAATGTGAATAAATATCGGGGGAAAATGTACGTAAAATGAGGGAGGGGGGGATAGTGATCGGAATTGCTTGATTTATAATTGCGGATGAAGAATTAAAAATAAAATGTTACGTGATCATGCGGAAAATAAAAAGTCGAGGATCGAACCCGGGACATCACTATCATGGAACCAGTACGTGTGCAGTAGGGCTCCGGACTCCGCTGAAACCTTCAGGCCGATAAATCGGTACTAGAGGCTGCTTCAGTGTTGCCACGCGCCGCACGACCAAATCACACGCCGAAAACGCAACTTTTGGGAATTTTTTACGCCCTTCCTATTGCGCATTCGGGAAAACGGCTCAAATTGACCTCTAGAATTGGTCCATAGAGTCTGTAAAAAAAAATTCAGCCCAATCGGAGGCGGCAGGTCCGTAAGTTCCCCTTGTAAGCCAAATAAGTTTATCCACTTTTAGAAAGCAACAGAAGATCCATTTACTTTACATGTGAAGGTGATGTCAGACGATCTTGTTTCGCAGTATAGAGGTGCGTAAACTTACTTGGTAATCCTCTTTCTCAAGTTTTTCTCTTTTTTTTTTTAAATTTCCTTAATTTATCATATGATTATACATTTAATTCTTTTTTAGGAGGGGGGGGAGGGGGAACAGAAAATAACATGATTCAGTGGTGTGTTCAAAAATTTGATGGATTGCAGAACAGGGAATCTCAACTTTTTTAGACTACAATTAATTTTTAGTCCACATTCGTACATTTTTGTGAGCGATGCGTGATTCAAACCCATTCCTTCTCTAGTGAATTTATGCAAAGATTAGTCGTTATGATCAAAACTCATGATTCTCTGTAAAATTTCACAAGCGAAAGAATGAACACAAAGCTTTTGTCAAAAGTCAATTCCTTGAGCTTAGAGAGAGCTCCAAATTTTAAATTGTCCAAAAATGTCCGCTTTTAGAGATTCAAAAAAGGATTTTGCGGAAAAAGACGCTTAGTAGTTGTTCACACTCATTCACCTTGCACTGGCTAAATTTGCCAAGCCAACACTTTATTCACGAAATTCCTCATCTTTCTTCTTATATACTCTTCCCACACCTTCCATTTTTCCATTGCTGCAAACTCATTGGCATTTTCGATTTTCCAGGCGACCGGAAACCTTATTTTCCCCACTTACGTATGTTAAAGCTTACTTGAGTGGTTTTTCCACAACCAGTGTTTCCTTGAATGATGACGACAGGATTATCATTGATTGCATCCATCAATTTAGTTCTGAAATTGTGAATTGGCAATTTGCTTCTTGATTCCAACATGCGTTGTAAGTTTTGATCATTTTGCATTTTATCTTTCAATGCCACTGACAGATCTTCACTGATCTGATCCATTGAGGCCTGCGGAGAAAGTAAAAGAAAAAGGGCAAATGAAAGACAAAAAGTATTAAATAGTGAAACGAGTATTTGTGAAGACTTATGATCTCTACAAAAAGCACTAGATAAGAAGTTCCTGAGAACATCATTCATGTTCGTCCCAACAAGGAGTCATAATATCATGAGTATAGAAACTATACATTTTAAACTGAGGAAATGATACTAACTTGGCAAATTTGTTGCCTTAGCAGGGGCTGCTTAGAATTGCCTTGTCACAGATTAAATTACGATTATATAGGCTGCAGAGAAGGGATTTGATTTGACTAGACACTTTAAGATCCAAGGAACAGGAAATATCCGATTCTGATAAGATCCAAAGTCTGAACTTCAATTTTATCAATACAACCCATATTCATAATAATTTAATTCAAACAAAAATATTGAATTCAAGTACATGAAGCTGTTGGCTGCTGCATAAAATAGGTTAGCTTCAATGTGAATGATGTTGGTTAAAGCCTTCAGTAAGAAACTCATTTTTTTTGGATTTGATAAAAATTTGTTTGCGAGTATCGATTCAGGTTCACAGGATAAAGAATGCTGCTCAGAATTGTTGCATGATATTTAGGCAAGAATTTGCTAAGGAAATTTTAAAGGAGTGAAAATGCAGCTTCAAGTTATAGATCAAACATAGATACAAGAATTTTAAAAATGTAAGAAAAGTAATGTCACCCAATAAAATTGAGTGCCTTGGATAATATCTGGTTTTCTGATACAAGTGTAGCCAACTATCTGTGATACCTTGTTCCTTTTCCCAATAAGAAACCATGCGATACTATTTCATGAAAACTTCCTTCGGTAAAGAGGAAAAGAAACTTACATGTGCCAATGGTCCTTCATCAATATTACAACCCAGCCATGGGTTCCAGTTTGGCTGTGGAGGACTCCATGAAACAACTCCTGCAGGTTGTGGTTTGGTTGCAACAAATTCTTCGAGGACACAATCAGAGACAAGGGAGACAGGTTCATTTGATTCCTGAAAAGCAAAATGAAATTTCCATTTTAATGAGGATGAAGTTGCATTTTCAGCAGTGCGGTGCTGCTGCAAGCTATGTTACTTGGCAGTATGGTACCGCCGGAGAATATGTTATTCAGCAGAACTGGGCTTTCTTAAAATTATAAAAAACTTCAATGGAAAAGATTAAAATAAATCATATATCTACAAGGAGGTAAGTGGAAAAAGTAGACTTCTAGCAAAAAATACGATGTTTCTTCTGGGGACTGTGCAGCAAGTTCACTGAGACTTATAAGAACTTATGACGTAAAAAATTCCTTTATTAAAATATCTACAGAGCAAGTTGATGCACACATCATCACTAAAGATCAAATTAGAGTACCTTTATAGACAGAGTATGGCCATTTCTGTGCCGGTTTTTCATTGGTCGCATGAAAATAGGCTGACTTGATGTTCTTACGGCCGTAAATAAACAAGCAAAATGGCTGTTGTCAGCAAGCAAGTTTGAGGTTATGCACATCTTACGTCCTCCTGTGATGAATACAAAGGGCGATTTAATAGGGTTTTCATGTGTTTTTCATGTGTTATTCGTAGATATGCTAATTTAAATTGTTACTGCCGTGTAATTGAAATTTTTGTCAAATTTTAGCTTCCTATCAATGTCACGGAGAGCCACCATCTTGTTTGTTCATTTACGGCCGATAAAGCATCATGAAGCCTAAAAACTCGTTGACCAATCAAAAAGCAGCACAGTTTTCCTGTAGTAAAAAGATACGAATGGCCATACTCTGTCTATAAAGGTACTCTAGATCAAATAACATACAGTAAAGCATCATGGTTCAAAATGTTACTCTACACAGCAGCACATAAACAATACAATCTTAGCAACATTCGAAAGTAGATGGTACATTTCTAAATGATTGATTCCATTTCACTCCAAATATAAAACATTGATCATATAGTGGTAGTTTACCTGCTTAATGGGATTGGGCTTGATTTCAAGAGCATCGAGAACATCAAAAACTTCTCGCTCAAGTTCAGGGGCAAGTCGGACTTCAAACGGTGCCATTTGAGTTGCTGTTTTAGGTTTGATTGAGCCACTGAAAGCTTCAATGACTCCCAAGTGATACAACTGGCGGACAATTGATAATGCCACATTCTTTGAAGCTGTCTGTTTGTTAGACCCAGTTTCACGGCCGGTGATCGCTGTAACATATTTATTTACACATTTAGAAAAGATGATAGCCAGAGAAGATGAAAAAGGAGAATAAAAATGTAACTGGGACAGTGCACTTTCCTAACTCAATGCAAAAATTAAAAAGAAGGGCTCTGTTTCAGAGGACACATGCTATGAATTGGATTATCTACATTTTGACCTAAGATTTCCTTGAATATCTAAAGTGAAGCGGCAAATTAAACATGCTGATAATCACCACTTTTTGGTTTGATGCAGAAAACCGGTGGGTGCATAAAACGTCAAATTAGATGACTTAGGTAAATATAATACTGAGTAAACTTGGTGATATTTAGGAATGCATGGTCATAACAGAAATTTGTCCATATCATAAATTGTTTCTCCTTTTTTAGTTTGTAATGAAGTCTTATTGCTGATGCTTCAAATAAAATCATCAATTTATTATGGCAGTGAACAATCTTGACCCTGATATTTTATAAGCATTTTCAGTCATTTTTGGCAGCATACCGTAAAAAATTGACAGAGTTGACCGAGCGCTTAACGCCGATATTTCACAAACAGTGAAAATATCTAGCTGGTAATGGAACTCTTGTGGATACCTAAAATGACAATTTTTTGGTAGGAATATGTACGGCAAAAATCATCATTCCATTAAAGTGAGTTCAATTTTGGTTTCCTTAACAGTTTTGGAAAGCGTCTCACGCCCTCATCAATGCTTCTTTAATATAGCAACAGTAATCCCTGATTACAGTTATTCTGATCAGGTTGCTTTGTCTTGCATTTTCATGCTTTCATACAATGCATCTTTCAGAACTTTTGCTTCGTCCTTTTCATCCCCACTGACTTATCAGTTTTTCTTCCATGAGTTTATGGAGTGTATTAGCTGCAATGCACTGGCAAAGTTGTTGCAGATCTGAAGAACGGGACGTCTTTTAACTAATCCCTAGGAAGCTTTTGGAAAAAAAGGAAAGAAAAGAAAAAAAATGACCTGAACTTTAGGGTTTATTTTTTTTTTTACCATAATGGAAGGAAAATAATAGAAAAATCTTAGAATGAAACTTACTTCGATTAAGCTGTCTCACATAAATGGACATCTCGCAAGAAAAACTCCTGTAAAAAAGGACAGAAGAGATGTCATTAATACGCTACCTAACTATACTTGCATTGCTTTATCTCATGCAAAGGATTCAACATTAATGGCTTGGTTTAAGGCAACATTGACTGATTCAAAGGAATGAAAGTTATAACTGCAATTACAGTGAAAGTTGAGAATAAAGTGAATTTGACCACTAACATGGAAAATACCGTAGTCTCAACATATTATGAATAAAAAAAAGGCAATTGATAAAGTGCGCTTTGAGGTGATACATTTTGGAGACCCCATACTCCCAATTTATGGTATGTTATCAGGTGAGGCAAAAGTTAAGTTTGGGATCAACACTGCTTTTCGCCTGATGATGATTGATAAGTAACTTGTTGAACATGAAATTCGCCAAATGGTGACCGATCGATGTCGAGGTGAACACTTTGCTCGGAGAGTTTCAACAAATTGAGGTTGGATTTCCTAAAATAATTGTTCTACGCTTTGGTCATCGGTCATTAGTGGGAGAATCTAAGCATTAATTTCCGGAAGTAAATACGCAGTAAGAAAGATATCAATGCAGGGCCTCTAAAGTATACTGTCTTCAGAGGTGCTACTTAAGAGGAAAATCCATCATGACTGGCGAAGGAATATGAAAGGTGTGACGCACCAGGTCACTCACATCAAGTTTGGTACTTTAGCGATTTGAAAATTCGACCCAAAATGCTAAAAAATTCGTTGAAGCATTACTTGAATTGGCTATTTTCTCAAATACAATTGCTGAGTAGTATGTCAAGTGAATAAATTTGTTGCACACCACTATTTGCTTGATTCTCAGTGATTGAGGCAAAATGTAGAAAGTTTGAAAAAAAGGATGACACAGAGGAGGGCGAACAGTTTAATGTTTTAAATACATTTCATTTCATTAAATAGTATTCTCAACGAGCATTATATTTTTTTCGACCTAGCGCCTAGAATAAAATGTATGACATAAGATATTTTGATTGACATGAATTGGTTGTATTTCAAATACTTTCTACAAGTTAAAAAGACTTCTTTATTTTCAAGTATTGTAATTTCTAAACTCTGTTATTAAAGGGCTCAAAGCATCTCATTGTTTTGCACTTTTGATTGTTAAACTTGGAGAGATTTTTCAGGACAAAACATCATTCAAAAATTAAAAGTGCAGGAAATATTTGGGATACTAACTGATTTTGTAACTATGGCAAAGGACCTAAAAGTAGTTGGGTAATTTTTCCCTTTGCAGTCAGTCCAATGGTACCGACTTCTCTTTTTGAATGGGTTTCAAGTGACTCACTGTGGTTACGGATGATGCACCATACCAGATTGCAATTCATGGACCTCATCAAAAAAATTTCATGACTTATCACCAAGGTCGTATTTTTCCTCGCTGTTTTCAAGAGCATTCATTCCTTCTGTACATTTCATAAACGTTGTTGTAGTCTTGTAGCATGGATAACAAAACAGCTCCCTAACCTCCCACTAAGATTCCTGTCAGGATCCCAAGAGGATATGAAGACCCAAAATCCAAAAAGAGACAAGTAAAAGGCAAATTTTGATACCACTGAAGCAAAAGAAGAATAAAAAGACCCTCCCTCGGACGATTAGTTAAAAACAGTCAAAGGGGGGAGGTGGGATCAGAAAAAAATTAGAGGGGATCCAATGGTGAGGAAAAGCTCAAAGTTTGAAGCGTAAACCGAAAAATCAAATTAAAAGAAATTCCGAGCGGCTGAGAATCCTCTTGCACAGCAGGATCTGTAGGGGTGCCCGTTAAAACTAGTGAAAACAGTACAACACTGAAGCTGATGCAAATCAAACGCAGTAAAATATGCATCAACACTTTCGGCAGTTGCAAACGTCATCCTTCAACAATTAGATCGGAACCAAGTATTGAATTTGTTTGCTTACCGGTGAACATTAGCTTTTCATGAAATAATTTATGGAAAAAGGAATCATTATGAAACTCATCCAACAACATTTCATAACAGCGAGAGATGCGAGGAACACTTGCGAACCTTAGAAACAGCGAGACAAATTTTACGAAACAAATTTTCAGGGATGCACTTCATGTGCAAGTCTTAAAGGGTGTGTTGATAAATATTAAATGAGAAGTTAAATTTATTCAATAACGCAACAATGATGTTTATAAATTGAAAAATACACATCTTTGATATTTTATTCAGATCCAGTCCTGGAGATGCATACCAGGCTTTCAAAAGCGTCAATGCACATTTTACCTCATTTGAGTCGCACCGGCCTCTTGTAAAATTAAGATTCTTTCTAAGTCTCATTTTAGCATGCTTTGGTAATAATTTCTACAATTTCAGGGGGGATTTTATCAACAAGAAAATGAAACTTCACAGCTGCCTGCTAATCGGGGGTGTTATCCATGAAACTCGCGTGCAACACATTAAAAACCTCATAAAAGAAAATGAACTACCTAGAAAAATGACGCTTTAACTAAACTTGCTTCAGCAAAATAGTCATACAATTTTTCTGAGTTGGTTTCATGCAATGCAAGATGTTAAAATGCATTATCAGTAGTTAAATAAAAAAATTTACAAGAAGTTACTACTGCAAAACTAGCGGCCAGGATGAGGGTCATCCATTTATTTTTGGCTCCTACACTAATTTTCAGCTAAACAAAATATAAAGAGAGAAAATAATTTTATGGTTCTTGGAGGAATCAAATGATAATAATTAATTACTTACCATTGACCAAAAAGGTTTAAGGACCCACAGCAATATTACTTCAAAGCTGAGAAACAGAATCACAAATCTTAGTAAATAATATGGAAGCAACACAGAGCCGACTTAATATAAAATTAAAAATGCATCATTCATCAAAACGGATCCATCATTTTCAAAACAACAGAACTGAAATTGTATTGTGTACTTCTTACCCTTTCGGGCCATGACTGTAGAAAAATGCCCATTTCAGTGCTGATATGTCTGAATACCATTATCATCAGATCTCTTCTAGTTTCAGAGAGCAAACTATTGTTCTGTCACTTCAAAAATTTCTGTCGATGCTTGATGCTAAAATATTTTGTGTGGGTGGTGGAAAAAAATTAATTCATCTGTGAGTGCTCTTCAAAATAGGATTTCTTCATTTTCACACTTCCATCATTCAAGGAGATGCGATTCTTAGGATACGGGTAAATAAGTGCGACAATTTGAGAGGTAAGCATTTTGACAGAGCATCACAGAGAGTTTTCAAGTAAAACCTAAACAAATTTCTTCTTTTTTTCATGCTTCTTAATTTACTTGCCATAAGTAATTTAAAAAACATGAAAAAAATTGTGAACATTATTGTTAGCCCTGTGCTGCTTCAATATTTAAATCTGATTTGTGATTCTGCCTTGTTCTGTGAAAACATTTCATTTCTCACAGCGTAAAAAAATATTCGGCCTTTACCTTGAGTCTTAATTCATTTCCTTATAAAAAGAAACACTCTAGAAAAGGAAAGTAGGTACAGTGAAGGATAGTATGTACTTTTGTTCTAATCTTCTTTTCAAAAGGAGGTATGTATGTGCGATAGAAAAAATTTATTGAACAGATAAAAAAAAAATAAATAATTCATCCAGGACTTGGTGACAACTACTAAGTAAATTACAAAAAATTTCCACATTCACTTATGCTTCATGTTTTGTAAAAGAGGATCATAGCAAAGGGCTGCAGAGAGAGCCATGCAGATCTGAAATGCAGTCCTCTTTCAAAATATTAAGTGCAAAAGAGCGAGCAAATTTTTTGCAATTAAGTAATATCATCTTGTACTGGACGCCACTTGTACTGGAAGTAAATTTAGCGCCTGCTGTTCAATCACTTTAGTATCTTAAACTTTACAGCCTTATGAGGACTTTCTCACTATATCAACTATTTGATCAATAACATGGTCTTTAAAGTTAAACAATTTGTCTCTACTCAGATGTGAATATCATCGTACAAGAATTACAACTTACATTTAGACAGCGTATTCTTGGCTTGAAGAGTTTAAGATACATTGTCAGATCGGAATCCATTGAGAAACACAGCCTCTTGGTAATTAAGGGCATCACAAGCCATAATTACTCATGAAGGAAGGATTTTTTTTTTTTATAATTCAGTTATAGAGATAGTGTTGGAACAGAGAAAGAGGAACTATAACTCATTCTAATAACTTTCCAATTCCAGAGTGTAAGATGAAAAAAAGACCCATGGGACTGACTCATTCAGAGGCCATTCTGACATTGGTATAGTGTCAAAAAAGGGTGAAAACATTTTCAAATGCCTACTGTTCCGTCAATTTGGAATATTTGATTGACAGCCTAACTTTCCATTCTCCTCATGGAAAAATGTCCCATTTAGGCTGGTTGTCAAATTCAAATTTCACATGCTTGACACTTCTTTCAGTTGATTGAAAAAGGAAAGATACTATGCTAAAAAGAGTCAGGGTTCATGCAGTCAAATCAAAGTAAAATTCAAAGAGTTACGAAGACAATTTAAAGACTTTTTGGTAGTTTTTCAAAATTGGCCGATTGAAAATTTCAGGACTTTCAGGGACTATACCCAAATTTTTAGCAAGTTTTTTGAGGACAAATGTTGCAAAAAAATTTGGAAATTTTCTCCCCTTATATTGTTGTCTTACTTGACGACTATTATAAAAGCAAAGCTTTCATGATAAGTGGCTTGAGCAATCCCACGAACACCCGATTTAATAAGTTTAAGGTGTAGGAAAGGCGATCCTTTCATGGAGATGAAAAGACAAAGAATGGAGAATTTTCTTTGTGTTGCCCACCCAAAATGAATACTGCTGCAAATTTTCTTGAAAGTTGAGTACATTCATGTCAGTGAAAATGAAGGAAATAACTAAAGATATTAAATGACTTCTCATGGCTGCACGAACCCTAGAAGTCCATATATTTGGAATTTCTGACTTTGACTGATAATCTTGTTTTGGAAAAAATTATTGTAGGTCAACTTTTTGTTTGTTGCCCTCCTCTCCCTCCCCAACTGTACAGCAAAACAGTACAGCGCAGCTTGCTATTTTACTGTTGAAAATTTAATTTTGCACACCCTTTTGTTTCAAGGGGCAAGGTTCTACTTTTTAAATTTTTGCATACGTTCAAAATTTTGGTTCTTGTTCAAGGCAAGATCATCTGCAATTAAGTGTTAGTTGTTTTTTAAGCTCAAAAGAATGGTTTCCCTTCATTCAAACTTGAGCTAGCGTAATCTATAATTTTTTCTTGCATATTACCGCAAAATGATACAGAAAAAATAACGAGTATCTCGGAGGGGTCATTCAGTGAATTGAATTTTTTCCCAGTTTAAAAGCCAAGGGTGACTTACAAATTGTGAGGAGCACCAACAACTGAGTACTTGTAGTCACTTTTAATCTTGTTTTGATTCATGAACATGTGGAGCTTGGACTTTGCATTTTCGATAGTCCAGTTTCCATGGATCCCAGCATTCACATCCAGATCTTCAGCCTAAAGACAGAAAATTAAAAATCAAAAAACAAAGAAAGAGCTCTGAGTAAAGACAACGTAAGAGACTGCTCGATAATGACAACTTATAAATGATCAGACACTCTAGCAATAGCATACAAAATGTGATACATAATTTATAAAATCATATGCTGTCCTAGGTGTGCTGATATTCTCGCAGGGTTGGCTTAAATCTTGAGGATGACTCAGTTGTGCTCGGAGTGACAGAGAACACATCTCTTTGCTAGTTGCAACTTAGGTTAATAATGATTTTTCCCGACTGCTCATCCACATAGAGCAGAGTGCAATAATTGTGAAAGTACAGTGCTAGGCCATATACGGAAGTCTACAGCCAAAATGTTACTAGACTGCTTTAATGACTGCATCACTTGTAGCATAATACTGTTCGATAATTCTAATATCAAAAAGGTGCATAACCTTGTCTTGTTCATGCAAGGATGGTAGAATGCACTAAAGTGTTTTTTGTAAAACAATGTCTTGTGTTTAATGAGTCGTCAATTGATTTATGATTAATTTATGACAACATTAAAATGAGCTAACACATTTGACTCCGCACAGAATTTTTGACTTGCGGTTATGTCCTATTGTTGGTTTTGGAATCATCAAAACCATCGAAAATTAATATGTTGAACATCGCAAGAGTGACGTGGTCACTAAATCAGACTAGTAACTGTTACAGTGTGTATCTTGGTATTATATTATTTTCCACCTCACTCAAAAGATGGAAGATGAAAAGAAAAAACCAATATTACCTCCTCAACCTTCTTCTGATCAGCCATAACATCAAAATAAGTTCTTGATTCACGCCCTTCTTGTGCCACAGGTCTATAGGCTTCTCCAAAGCTGCTAGGACCAGAACCAGGCTGGAAAACAGGACGAGACGAGAGACCGAGAGACATACCACCTCCTCCTTCATTATTACCAAAACCGCTCCCATGATCTGAGGATCCACCTCCGACACCAGGCAAACCAGCAGCAGCCTGAGAATGAGGAAAACCATGGGAAATTATGTGAGGAAAAAAAGAGTTCTGAGTTATTAATTCAGGAGAAATAGAACCTTTCTATGGGATTCTCTTTTGCTACAGACTCCTTTAAAGCACTTTTTAGTAATTCGTAACCGGTCATTCACTGATACTCAAGAATGAAGAGGCAGTGGAGAAAAATAACTGAGAGGTTCTGGAAACTAAAAAAATTTTAAATTAGGAAGAATGGAAGAGGACTGATAAGTTTGAAAGAGAGAGAAACACTAAAAAATCTATACATGAGTCTGTTCCAGCTATTTCATCACCATATCTTGCAGGAAGTAACTGATAAATGGTGTCAAGATTCAGTTAGAATAAAACTTTACATTACCTCATCAATTTTCAGACAGGATCTTGTGGTTTTGAGAATTTACCTGTTTCTCTTCAGAGACAACTCTTCACAGAAACTCTTTCGAAGACATGATAGATTAACTTCCAAAATTGCATAGTTATTGATTAAACATGAAATAATGGGGCATGGACAAGCATCAATTTTTAAGGCAATTTTTTTACCTGATTTAAATAGCAGATCTTGACAAGGGCAATGCTAAGTTATATGACATGGCAATGGGATAAATCTTAAGCAAAATTGAAGAGAGGCAGAAGTTCAGGGAGAAATATGTATGTACCTCGGCTGGAAGATCAGCAGCAGAAATGTGATTCTGACGCAAAAGATACTGTACAAAATCTTTTGCACTGTTCATCATGGCATCTTTTTTATTGCTGGAATTACCAACTCCAACATACGGAAATCCATCCACCCTGACTTCACACAAAAATCTTAAACGATGCTTTGGTCCTGAAATATAGACATACATGAAGTTAGATTCACTTAGACGGCATGAAAATTGTACCTTGAAAGACTCGCAAAATTTCAATTCTTATTTAAATTTTTTTTTTCCTAATTGCTATTCTTTATGAGGAGTGTGATATTTTACATTGTGTAGGAATTTTTAAAACTTTCCCTGTTGGATTTATGTAATTGGACCTTCCACCACAGACAGGCTATGCCTTCGCAATCAAGGATGGTGTTACTATATATTTGTCAAGTCATTTTGTGAATGAAAAAAACTAACCAATCTTAAAAAAATAAAGTGCTTGTTTCCATGTTTTCACATTTTATATCTTTAACTCTTTCCTTTCATTGAAGACGTACATAGTTCCACATGTAAGTTATAAAAGTTGGTAATGACATGTAGCGTGTCCCTAAGCTATATAAATAACATAAAATAATAATCACTCAGACAGACAGGTGACTGTTCCATTTCTTCCATGAGATCACAAGAGGTCACTTCGTAGAGGCTAACTTGGGACTTTCCTGTGAGATTGAAACAGCTAAATAGAAAGCTGGCCATGGCCTTAGGGCTAAGGCGGACAAGAACCATACAGTACATAGAGTCGTAATGTGATTGGGATAGCTGGGACCACTTTTAAGCATTTTCCAGGTCCCGAATTCCATGACTCCTGTGCGGCTCCCAGTCACTTTTTCAATACTTAATCGATTGTTTACGATACACAGGGACCCGGCCATCCAATGTAAACAAAGAGGATAAGAATTACCACGTATTCCGCACCGCCATTTTGGACTGAACATTAATTGAAAAAGTGACCGAGGCTTGGCGCACACCGGACTCTGAACACGTCGCCTAGGACATGGTCCCAACTCTTCCAATCACATTACGACTCTATGTACTCTATGACAAGAATAGAAAGCGCCAGGAGCTAGGTACTCAGTATCATGAAAACATTTTGTTGTGTGTTTCGCAAAGGTTTTAAAACGTGGTCTAGTTCTTTTCTGAGCTCTCTGATAGCGCTAAAACAGTTGATCTTGATCGAACTGTTCTTGAGTCTCACATTGAAACAGTGGCAACTTCAATCAACAAAGCCAACTTTTGCGAACTTTCAGTGTCTAATGAGAGCCCAACACAAGGTTGGAAAAATTTGAAATTTTGGATTTTTACTTGGCTAAGCGCGTACACTACGTACGCCAAATTTCATCAAAATACTGATAAGATCAATTTTTCTAAGTGGCACCAGTTGGCACGGAATGTTCCAGTAGAATTTAAAGACATGGAAAAATATGATTTGCAGGCAGAGAGAATGCGGAGGAAAGGGGAAAGTTTAACCATCAAAAACACATTTAAACAGGCACACTACTTATGGTTAAATGGGCTTGGACATAATAGAAACGTCCTTTGCTATTCCACAAGCACTGAAACAAGAAATTATATTGAAGAACCTGAACAAATAATGAATTGTATATCATCATACCTGTTTGTCGAGTATCAAAATTTGGATCTCCTTTGTTCTGTTTAATGCACCAACTGTGCAAAAAACTTTTAAAAGCGGATGATGACATGGTGGCAGCAGAGGAATGTTCACCTATTTGTTCACAAGCAAGATGACAACTTGCTGCCTGTAACAATAAAAAGAAAATTTTAAACTGTTCCTAACTTCTTGACTTGCATTGGGAAATTTGCACATTAATATATTTTGAGGCAATTTAATAGTAGATTGAGGGAGTCATTTAACCATTTTCTTTTACGTTGCAAACTATTGATAAAACTTAATATCACTTAGCCACAGCAAAAAGCTTGATTAAAAAACACAATATAGTGGAAGAAGCTGCAAGTCTTTATTGTGTAATCTGACTCCTCAACCAGTTCCTAATTTCACATTAAATTCAGTCCCAATTAATTAATGGGTTTATCAATATGACCGATGGGTACCCCATTAACCCGTTTGATGAGTATACTCGTCAGCGCGTGCCTGGGATATATCTCGGTTGACAAGTTAATTCGCGCCATCTACCAGTGTTGCAACACGATTGTTTTGGTCGTGATTATGTGCTTTCCCAATAGATGGCATCTCAAGCGTAGCAACACCGACAGATGGTGCGAGTTAACTCGTCAACTGAGATACGTCCCAGGCGCGCGCTGATGAGTACACTCGTCATATGGGGCAAATGGATTGATAGAATTATTATTTCTGACAGCCCAAGGCCACCCCACGCAAACAGATTGTTGATACATTTGTAGCTGCTTATTGGGAATGGGTTGGTACAACTTCATGTTGTTGCATTAAAACGGCAGAGGAGTTCAATGAGTTTAGTAAAGCATTCCACGTGACTCACGTCTTGAATTAATTCAGTTTTATACTGAATTTTAGCTCACGCAAGCAGGGGTGCAGAAAGTTCTTAGCCTTCCCCACTTTATAATTTGCCTTCCCTGAGATTTGCTGTCTTGCTATAATTGCGCCTCTACATGAAACAATGCGCTGAAGAGCTTCTTCTCACAAAATTAACGTGCTTGAAAGACTTCTAGCATATAAAACAGCTCGCTTGAAAGTTTCCTTCCCTAAAAGTAACACGCTAAAAAGTTTCCTACCCTAAAGGCAATTCGCTTAAAAGTATTTTTTCCCACATGCAGGGCGCTTGAAACACTTCCAGCAAATTAAACAACTTGCTTACTTGCTTCCTTCCCCAAAAGCAGCACCTTTGAAAGGCATCTGACACAAATGACAATGTGCTTCCCCGTTTTTTCTCCAAAAAACATGAAAAAAATCTTCCCCAATTCTTGCGCAAGCGGCCACGCAATTATGATCGCAAGATCCAGAACATTCTGCACCCCTGCATACAAGCAAAATCACCAACTCTCTTGTCTGAGCAACTCGCTCATAACTTCACATTTCATTTGTATTAAAAGGCGTCAAATCAAATTGGCCTCCTTCTCTAATCCCCCCTCTGTCTTTGTATCAAGTTTCTGCGGCTAAAATTGTTTTCCTTCCTTCTCTAAAAGCAGAAAAACCTTCCCCTACACAAAATCCATCCATAGTTGTTAAAAGCTTCAAAGCTCTGAATTTACTTGAAAAAACTGAGTATGATATCCAACACCAGGCTCTGGATTTAGGGTTTGTTAAAATGCAAACCGCGCTGCAGACAGAGGAGCTGACGCATGGTTTTCCCAGATCTCTCGAGACGGTAAAAATGTAATACTTATGGTTCTTTGACCCTTAACAGCATATATCTTGGGTGTTTGTATTTATGGGGTTGTGCACTCACAGAGTGCGGGGGTTATATTCTTATGCTGATATTCGAAAGAGCTTTCCCTTAAGTGACATCAACAGAACGGACTCATACTCATGCACTCTTCAAGCATCTTTTGGTGTGTCGACTAAAGTCAAATTCATTGCCAGTAAGCTCCTTAGCCAATGGAATGAAGGCTAGAAAAGTTCATCAGGTACACGGCAATGAAAAAGGGAAAAAATTTACTTACGGAAGGAAGGTTTGGTTGATAAAATTCTTGAATGAAATCAGAATCTGATGCGGCTAAATACCCACGGTCCTACGGTAGGCTTCGGCCGGCACGGACGGGCCGATGAGTCGGATGTTAAAAAGTGTCTCTATAACACTTATTAAGTTCTGACCATAATACTTATGGAAGCGTTGATATACATTGACTGCAGAAAAATTGTAATTTTTTAACGGAGGAACTACTTGAATAACTTCTTTTTCCACTCACTAATACCATTGACGTATAATACAAAACCAAGGCGGATAAAGAATGGTGGTCGCATTTCGATTTTGGCTGCCATCTTGAAGCGTTGTGACGTCAGGAGGGTACGGGTTATGCCGTGCAATCCTTGGTGCAATCCGAGGTTGAGTCGGCCCCCCCGGCCTCGGCCAGCCCATGTACCCGATACCGTGTGACGTCCAGAGGGTACGAAATGCGACCACCATTCTTTATCCGCCTTGATATAGACCTTGATACAAAACAACGCTGTAACAAAAAAGGCGATCGATGAACGATGATGAACGATGGTTGGTGGTTTCACTGGTTTTTCCATAAAATGCCAATAAAAAAGTGAGGTTATCATTGTACATAAATTCTCTTTTCTTCAAGCTTCTTATGGTTTACTGTGCTTTATTTATTATTTGTAAATGTGTGATGTTAGTAGCATATAATAATAAGTCCTTTTCTTAAAAATGGTTTCTTGTTCAGTGAGAGGCTGCAAAAGGGATTCGAGACGAATCCCTCGAAACAAAGGACTGAAATTTTATTCTTTTCCCAAGAATCCAGAGCTGCAATTTCAATGGGAAAAATTCTGTGACTCCCATAAACAGATAAATTTAAAAACAGGTGAGGAAGTTTGTATTCCACACCCTCTGTACATATGGACCATACTTTTGCTGTACAGCGCTTTTCTTCCATGTGTGAAACGCTGAAGATTCTTTACAACTTTCCCACCAACTTTAATCAGGTCCTTCGACATTATATTCCTAATTCAAGTACCTCAGTTGTGGCCCAGTTTTGTTTCAATTCAATCTTTCAAGCGTGCAAGGGGAAGCAATTTCAGTTCTTAATATGCGTTAAAGAACACAGCATTCACGTAACTGAAGAGGATGAGGGTATTGCAGAACTGAAACTGTTCCTCCTAACCAGACGAACAGAACTTGACCTGACAGTGGAATTCTGACATTGTTTAGAAGTTACCGAGTCTGTAAGTGCGTGTCAAGCCTGGATTTGGAAACCTCTGCTAAACTGAGATATGTCATTTTCAGGGCTCTTACGATTTTGTCACTGTCGGCCTACAAAGGCAAGAAAAATGATCACTATTGAAATCTATAGCTTAACTGTTCCAAGAAATTATGTATTTCAATTCATCCTTAGAGAAAATATGAAAGTGAAAATGCCTGCATTTTTCTGTCCAGAAAGTTCAATACCGAAAAATATGCCAATCAATTTAAAGTGTCAGAATGATTGACTGCCATGTCTCTTTTTACTCGTGCATCTATTTCTCAACTCCCGGGTTGCACTTCCATCAAGACGTCATGTATCTCTACTGTCTCTTTACCAAATTCTGTCTAAAGGAGCACTAATTTTCTTGCAAGAATCAAAAGCTTATTTTTCACTTTTTCCAATCATTGCTCCTCATTCTTCATTTTATATCTTAACGTTACCAAAAATCCAACAGCTTTGTAACTCTCAATAGTATTTTCAAACTAACCTATTCTTTTGTTCAATGTTCCAGCACGGATCTGCTCTCGCCATTTCGAAAAAAAGTATTATTTCAAACGTCCCATTGATATAGCCTTAGGTTTATCATGTCCCGTTTTCTTCCGAAACTTATCTGAAGATGCTGTGCCGACCTTAAATGGGTAAGTTAGAGATAGTCCTACAACCATCTGTAATTTTTCATACTGCACCCTGTTTTTTTTTCAAAAAATTTCGCAAAGATACAAAGACAGGCTACATCGTCATCCAAACGAAACAGCTATTGAACTTTTAAATAATATTAAAGAAATTAGGAGACTTAAGAGGAAAAAGCCTTGGGAGCTTGTCGCTAACGCCGATTCTGATTTTTAAACAACTTGCATAACTTATTTCTACCTTAAACTAATCATCCTTAATCTTAAGTTTATCTACCGGATGCTCTTTTCTATTTTTTAAGCCAATATAATTGTTCTACTATGTAGACAATTATTATTTTTTCTCCTTAATCTTATGTTAATAAGCGATTAGCATGTTGTCGCTTTGTTATACCATTACCTCGTAATTTAAGCAAATTGTTTATATTTCCCCTGTTGGAAGGTAACAATAAAGTATACTTAAAAAAAAAAAAAAAAAAAAAAAAAAAAAAAAAAAAAAAAACCTGCTTTTTATTTTGAAAGATGGGGCAATTAATGGAGGCGCTGATGAGGCATTTCTCTGAAGTATCCTCATGTTGGCACAATTTCAATTGATTTTTCAAGTTCTCCTGTTTGCATTCATTTAACATAATTAAATCGTAGAGAAAATGAATTGGCTCGTGCGAAAACCTGTATTTTTATCGCGGTCAATGTTGAGAGAATAGAAAATAAATCAACAACAAGCCTTTGAATATCAGAAGTGAAGAATGTTCACAAACTAATCACAGTAAGACCTTGATTTAACGAGTATCACAGGACCAACAGTTTGAACTGTTGTAAAAAAAAATTTCTTAATTCAAAATAGCGGATTTTGGCAAAAATCAGTAAACTCAAGTTTTGGCCGGAATAGTTCTAAAAATCTATATTTTCCTGGTGAAAGTGTTCCCTTAGAAAAAACGTGAATTAATCTGCATTGTAATTATAGTGGCCTGGTGTTCAAGTATCTTATTTCGTGCTTTGTCTAATAACTCATTTGAATCCTTATGTAAAAAAGAACAACCAATGAAAGGACAAAGGAAAGGACCTCTTTTATCTTTTTTCAACCTCAAATCAGGTTGATATTTTAATGTTTTATTCATCAGAATGCTGTTAATGTTTAATGTTTTTATTGCTCTTAAGGCCCCCTTAAAGGAACCAGAAGATCCATATGTTAAACTGTGTTTCCGATAAAGGGAGATTTTACTGCATTACAGTCATTAATTGAAGAAATTGACACATTTCTGCTTTTGAATTGTCCTATTGCTGAATTCAACTAATAATTTCGGAAAAACCGAAAGACATGATTTGTTCAAATCTTAAAGTCACAAATTTGTTCAAATCCTTCAAAAATTTTAAAAGACTCAAAACCTTACATGTAATATCACCACTTGATAGTTAAAGAAATAACACTGTGACAAAACTTAAGTATTTTCAGAAAGTTACAAGGTAGGATCCAACATGGAAATTCTGACTTGAACGCTTTCTCACAATTTTACATGATTGGTCCTGAAAAATCCCAAAATTTTCACTGGTGTGTTCAAATTGCAAAAAATGATGCATGATTTTGAACAAGGGCCTCTGAAGGTACTGAATCCCCCAATTAATTTGCAGCAACACCCCCAGCGATTGGTTAACAGTAGATTTATGCGAGGAAGTGGTAATGGAATACAAGTACAAGTAATTAGCAGAGCTCTCATTAATTACAAAGGGTAGTAACTGTGGACTAAATTATTATCTGTTATTATATTACAGCCCTCCAAAAGAAGGAGAAGAAAATGAAAGGACTGAAGATGAAAATTCTATCGCTAGCATCGACAATCCTGAAGTGTACCCTGAAAGTTCAGATTCCACCACTGAACCTCCAAGGTTTGTTTTTGGATCAAATTTTCTTTACAAATATTCGAAACATTTCTCCTTGGGCCAGCGCTCACATATGCCCTTATATCGGTATTTTCTGTTCAACTGTCTTGCAGTCTCAACTTAAATTTTTATAACTCCCCAACTGTTTGTTCTGCCAGAACCCATGACCTCTCATTTAATGCAAAATAAAATGTTCCATTCAACTAAATTAGAAAAAAAATTTACTTCCAAAACAATTTTTAGTGCATCTCAAACTTTGTCATCTTTTTTCATTTGGAAGATATCGAGGTACAAAGGTTTTGCCTTTCAGTTCCCTCCCGCCTTACTTAGGGCTTCCTAAATTTTCTTTTAGGTCTGAAAATTTTGGGGGAAGGAAGGCTTAAGTATGAGAAATCAATACTGGTTTCCTATCCATTTCGAGGCCTTATAACGGTTATATCATAGACTTCATCCTGCCTTTTTTCAACATAAACTCATAGAGATGCAGAAATTTCTTGACCATGCAACCAGCGGGTTACAAATTGATGGCATGCAAAAATGATCGGCCACAGAAATGGGTTTTAATAAAAGGGAAGTTGAGGAAAATTGGTCTGGAGAATTGGATGTCTCCTCTCTGATAATTTTGATAAAATTGGGTTTTTAAAGTAGGGAGGCTTAAAACTTCTGGCATCCTTGTAATCTCATTTGGATGAACCATTATCAGGTACATCTTCAGCGGTGAAGTAGCAGCCCGACTGTTAGAATCAGCAGCTGAAACAAAAGCTGACTTTACTGGAGCCCGAAAGACTGAGCCATTGGCTTTACCACCACCCGTCAAAAAAATAAGGAAAGTGCGACCCAAAAGTCCCAATCCAAAAAAGGTTTCTGAAGAAGCTCCTTTTATGTCATTTTTCTCGTAAGTTTCAATTTTATCACTTATTGTCTTTTTACTAATTTTTTCATTAAATCAGCACCAAGTTAAAAATTCTGTTTTTTACTATTAATGAAAGAAAAACTTATTAGTTGAAAAATGCATAGTTGGTCCATGATTTTCATGTTCTTGGTTCATTTGAGTCCTCTATGAAGGACATCTACGTTTTGGAAAGGAGCTGCCACGAGTGGTGCTCATGCAAAAACTTGCTTGATGTTACTCGTTATGCAAGAAACATACTTTGAGTTGATAAGTGTACAGGAATCCTAATTCCAATGTGCGTGTACATCTTTACAGGACCCCTGTTCAAATCCTATCTTTCAGGAAAGCCAAGTAACCCAGTTTGCTAAAATATGAACTAAGCAAGTCGGTTTCTAGCATAAGTAAACTAAAAAGAGTTTCTTGCTAAAAGGAGTTGCAAGTTTATGCCAAAGCTGCTGAGAGTGGTGGAATTTAAATTTTAAAGTTGAAAGTAAACTGTAATAACTTCCTTGCAATTAACTTTACAAGCATGCACAAACTTAGAACGTTATCGTACTTTTTTAAAGCAGTTTTGGATCACTCAGGTCCCTCATTGAGAAAAATGATGGCTGAGCAGGGAAAGTGCTTTTCTGAATGCTTCCAAGAATGCAATTTTACAAGATAAGGGTTTCAATTGAACGAGAGAGTATGGACCGTATTCGATAACGGTCAACTAACGGTTCGATGTATCGTTTGGTTCAAAACAATAGCACATAACCTCAAACCAAACTAAAGGGATTTAAGTTGGAAAAGCTGAAAATTAGAAAATTCCTAACAAAATCACATCACATTGGCATTTGGTACTGAAGAGAATAAAAAATCTGATAAAAAAGACCCGTTCCCTCAGATTTCTGAATTTACTTTAGAGGCTATGTTTATGTTTTGAACCAATCGATATCGATACAATCTCACCCGTTTGATGTATCGAATACAATCTATACTGTACCCGACTCCATAATTGAGAGTTTTTCAGAATCAACGATTGGCAAGGAAGTCTCTAGGAGATCTTTCTCTCTGAATGACTCTTGTATTCTAAGGTCGTCATGGAAACATTTCACAGTATGTTTGGATCTAGCTATCATTATCAAGAAAATTCCTCGTTCCTAAGTATTAAGGTCCTGCTTTTCTCTTTCTGTCTTTCAGAGACTATTCAACTTTGAAAGAAAAAATAGGCAACTGTGATGAGATAATTGCACAAAATGAGGAAGTTGTTGAACCAAAGTAAGTCCATTTTAATCACTCAGCTTTTTTTTCTAAATTTAAATGCAATCAAAAGAAAAAATAGTCCTTAGATAAGTATGAAAGAACTATGCTATGATGAATAACGGTAAGGTATAGAGAGAATTTTTCCATTTAGAAATTTGCTCACCGGATCTATAAAATATCGAGATAACAAGTGCTAGTTTTTTGGACTTGTGTAGAGAACAGCAAACACCCTTGTAATACCCTTGTTGTGGTGGGAAAGAAGAAAGAGGAAATTGAGTGTTAAACAGTGCCTGAATTCAAGCAGTATGTTATTTTTTTCATTATGACGACTGGCATCTTTTTCTATTAGTTAAAATTAAAAAAATGTGGCCAAAACAAGTGACAATCCTTTAAAATTGGGAGTAATTTACACAAAACAATTTTCATTTAGCCATGAAAAGTCTACTGAAATGGCCTTATCTCTTGTGTGCAACTGCTCATTGTAGTATTTTATTTTTACCCTGAAAAATAACTTGTGTAATTCCTTTTCCTTTTTCAGGGATTCATCAGCAGCGAATTCACAGTATATAATTTTGAAGCGATCTGTATGGAGGGCAACAGAAGACAGACTGCAAAAGCATTTTAAGAAGTCACTAGAAAAGAATGACATGGAAGACAGCTACAACAAAATTTTGGAAGAAAATGAGCAGTTAAAGGAACGACTAGCGAAAATAACCCAAGGTAACGGAGGTGGGCTTCACGCAATGAAGGCACGAATTGCAGACCTAGAAGATGAAAATTTACTCCTAAAAAATGAAAACAGTGCTTTAAGAAGGGATAAAGAAAAACTTGAGGAAAGAACAAAGAAGCATGCTATGCAACTCAAGCAGTTTTTTACAACAGGGCAACTGAAAAGAATGTTCAGTGAAGACCCTTCGAGGCATTTTCGATGGTCTGCTGAAGATATAGCTGAAGCTTTAGTATTGAAATCTCAAAGCATTAAGGCTTACAAATTCGTTCATAATAAATTTGGATTTCTTCTGCCTGATCTAAGCACACTTAGGCGTTGGGTGAGGACAAAGAGAAAAATGATTGAGGAAAGGCTTAGTAGTAACCCCGGCTCAGAGGCTGTAAGTGATGAGGATCGGGCTGTTGAAAACCTGATCCTCTTGTATGACCAAACTGAGGAAGGCGATGAAAATCTAGAAAGTGGTATAAGTGTGGAAGTTGATGAAAATTTGAGCAATGTCGAACTCGAAGGACAAGTTATTGAATTCACAATAATAGATGGCCAGCAATTTGATGAGCTTCAAGTCACAGAACAGCATGATGAGCAGTTTGATGAACTCCAAGTTACAGAACAGATTTGATTTTGTCAAGGAAGCGAATAAAGAAATTCCTGTGCTGTGTCCCTACAAATTAGTTTATTTGATATAAGTTCAAATAAAGGAGTCCAAATTTTCAGAAAATGTTGAAAGATTTCAAGTTTTCGGAAGATTTAAAACAAGTCCACCTTTTATTTTTGGTTCAGTGTGATAAATACCATTATCTCTTTTTTTTAATATTTATATACATGTATTAGAGACCTGCTTCAGGCAATTTTTATTTCCATACACTTCCTACGAATTCCACTTATAGACATCGAAACATACACAAAAAATACCTTGACACATATGTTTAAAGTGCTAATCAAACATTTTTAAGGCTTTGGCATGCTTATGGTTATGAATAAAAAAAGGAAATTTGTTTTCCTGTAGAGAGAACTGGGCATCAATTGATGTCAAAGTGAAATATCTCCATGCTTGTAGTGTTCATCTTGTTAATCATAGCATTTTATCCCACGTTCTATTCAAATAGATCAGAATAGTTCAGAAGGTATCATGGTGTGTCAAATTAAGAGCCTTCAAGAGGGAGCCAAGTCCAGTGCAAAAAAAGAGATATGTTGGCAGACTTCTACATTTATGCTCATTAAGAACGTTTTTAGTTTCAGTATTTTAATTTGAATGATTTACAAGTCTTTTTTTTTGTGGATTGTAAAGAATGTAGATAGAATTTGGTAAAAAAATATATTCTTTTTTGGTTTTTCTGTGAGTATTTGAAAAGGAGCTATATAAATTAAAGTACAGAAAGGAACCAACAGTGGATTTCTTTGTGGTTGCTCGGTTATGAAATTAATGTCACAACCTAAGTGCAACCCTAATGCCTAGGTGCAACTTGATTAAATTGTCCCTACTGGAGATATCTGCCCACCAACCAATGAGCAAACCTTCTGTTCCTCAGAACTCTCGTTCTTTTTTGCGGAACTCTACCCTGGTGTCAACTCTATGTTCAGAGGAATAAAATAGTGGATTTTTAATTTATTTTCCTTGTTATGCAATTTTATTATTGTTTCAGTTGCAAAATCTGTAGCAATGGTTATTAACTGGAGCTCTTTGTGTTTCAAACATTAGTTCGTAGTTCCTATGAAACTGCACTGTCTGTACCCTTTATTTGCGTCTGTAATGTATAAAGAATCTGTTACATTTAGTCACCATCTAAAAGCTATTTTGAAGATTTATATCAGGGATTTTGAAGTCAGTGACAATGCTTCAGTATCATTGCTGGCACTTCATGTGTGACTTGTTCTCAGAAGAAAGTTAGGATGTGGATGAGGCCTTACAAGAGCAATGCTGCAAAATAAATTTTACTCATCAACAATTTATCCAAAGATTGTGTTTTTTTTTTTTTTTTGACCAATACACCTGCCCGTTAACCTGATACTGATCTATAGTACACTTATTCAAGAAGTGAGCCATATCCAACGGACAGGATATTCTGTATACTTTTAATGAAATTATAAAAAAGTATTAATTTGCCTATTTTTCACGAAAAAGTATCTCAACGTTTCTTTTAATCGCAAGTGGGTGTAACTCAGATGGTTTTCCATTTATCACTGATTCGTTTTATTTTATCCTAAAAATTTTGGACTTGGAGGTTATAAGCCATGATACAAAGAAAAAGAGAAACAAACATCTTGCAATGAAATAAATTGTTAGTATGTAGGAAAAAGGAAACCCTCTTCTGTATTTTGCCCATAAAAATGTATGCAAAATTTAAGCCAAGGAAAGGTAGGAAAATATTAGTATCCAAATCTTTTTGAATTCTAAAAGTTGCTAATTTTATCAGTTGTTACTTTTTTCCTTACTTGGAATTTGATGAGAAACTGCAATTATAAAATGAGGATTTATGCACCATTTTGCTGGAAAACTCAGAATATTTTTACGGTAGTTTCTTTTCTTGCTCTTATCTCACCTGAACAAATTATCCATTTCTGAATTGTTGCACGGATTTAGGACATGCTTGCTCCACACAAGAAAAGTTAAAGCGTTTTATACACTCATTGATGGAAAAGTGCCTCAATTTACAGAGCCCAAAATGGGCAAAACTTCTGTTAAAATTTATCAGAAAAAACAAGTGAACTTCCAAAAGAGTGAGGTTGCATTTTAAAACAAAAACCGAAGTAGATTTCCTGAGCTGTATATTTTAACAATTTTATTACAAGTTTGAATCCTCAAAATTTACAAGTTTTTTTTATGGTTTTCTTTACATGATTCCATCATTAGAGACTATCAAAAGTTTTCAGTTTTCATCAAACTTCTAAGGGATACTTAGGTAAAATTAGAATTTGGCAGCCTTAAAAAAATCGATCAACTTTATGGCTTTATGCAGGTTACCAATCTCATCATCACAATTCACGAACAGACATCAGATCCCCAATATCCAATAATTCAACACCCTTTATAGTGTGCTAGACTCAAGTCTTGCAAGAGCTCACCGAAAACCACCGGCACTATGCTGCCTAATTCCAACAGAAAGAGACCCACAACCGCAAAGAAAGGAAGTCCCTGCGGGGCGATTATTGAAATGATATCGACTGTATGTCGCCGCTTTGTCGTGTCGCGCCATCGACTAAGCAATTGCTTAGTCGATGGTGCGACACGACAAAGCGGCGACATACAGTCGATATCATTTCAATAATCGCCCCGCAGACCTCATTGTGGAGCTATGCTAAAAGGGATCATTTGGATTGCATTTATACCATAAATATCTCCATATCTTCCATTATCCAATATCTCATGAGTGTCTCGATGGTCTGAGTACTGGGGTAACCAGATGCTAATCATCGTTATTGGATATGGTAAAATGGGGCTATGGTATTGATGAAAAATGGGGATATAGAATAATCCACTTTTTGGGTCATTTCCTTGTGTGCTAGTGAACGAACTTAGTCTGTGCCAGGGATGACCTAATTTTAGCTACCTACTTAATGACAAGGCAATGAACATTACTGTTTATTCAAGCTCAGGTAACTATTTGATCCCTATTTTGTCATTGGGTCCTAGAAGATGTATAAATAAATTGAATTAAATTGATTAGAGGGTTGCTTGCTAAAAGTGGCCCAGAGAGATAATGCTAAACTAAGATGTTGTAGGCACATATCTAAGAAAAACTTCCACCACAACATATAGCAGCATGGATACTGATCACTACCATCAAAACTATGATGTAAAGCTTTATTATTGCCAAATATGGGGATTGCTAATTTTCACTGGGGAAATAGTCTCAACATTATATGTGGTGTTTAATTTATGTCAAAGGTAAAATCAATGAGCAACATCCATCTCTCCCCTCTCAAAACTTACTACTTAGACAAGTAGCAGAGGAGTAATGCAGTCATAAGTAAGTAATCTTTGTAAAAAAAACAAAATGAAGTATGACAGGAAGTCTGAATGATCGGAAACCGAGTTACGTGCTTTGGAAGTTTCACCATATCGGTATGCTTGGTAAAAAATTTGAATGCATCGACCATCCATGTCCTACTAAGCATATTATATAATACGGAGCATTTACACATGTCCGTGTGTAAGAAATGTTGACAAAACTCACTCAACTAATGATCAAGTGGTTTTTTTTCTTTGGTTTTCTGTGTTTTTTTTTTTTTGGGGGGGGGGGGCAATGAGCATGGTTTTTCGGCCTTCGTAATGGGGCGACACACGGAACACGTCTCTCATTATTTCAAACCTCCCGCTACAGATTGACCAATCACTACGTCATTATTGTATAATCGTCATCAAGATGGCGAAGCGGTTCGAATCTCCTCCTCTGTACTTTCTTCCTTTTCATCCATCTTTCCGTCGTTTTTTGTTGTTATTAAAGTTTATCTGTTCTCAAATTCATTCACTTATTATCTGAGCTAACGAATTCATATTTCATATTAACATAATGGATGTACAGTTTTCGAAATAAGTTCTGATCATATTAGTATAATGGATGTACATTTTTCGATTCCGACCGCCTATTGTAATTGAGTAAGTGCCATCTTTGCCATTTGTTACCCTATATTTCGAGTCTCTTGTTTATCTAAGAAAGATTTATTATGGTTTAATGATTTTGTTTGTCCAATGCTGATCATGCCACCTGCAGTATCTGTACTACGGACAGAACAATTCCTACTCAGCATTTCTGGCCATGCAAGTAATCATGAGAGAGTGTGCCAGTAAATTCTGCGGAGGGAAACGGCCGGGCTACGAGAAGTACGCAAAAGTGTGAATTTTTACTTTCAAGCAGTAGTTTTACCAAACAAACTTAGTACTATGAGACTTCTTAATCTGCAGGATTGAAATGTGAAGTTTTTGGCTGCAAAGCAACTACAGAAATAATTAAGAGAAGTGAATATTACAGCTGGAAACTTAGACCTACCTAACCCCCTTGTCTATGTATGCATTGCATCCGTAATCACCCTTATTCCCTTTCTTGGCATACATTATATAATCTTTCCCTTCGATTAAAGTGTGACTCTAATGTGCAAATTTGGGGTGTACTTCGATTCACCCAAATTTGTTTAATTGGATCAAACTTGCCCAGAAATTCAACTGAAAATTCCATGCCTGGAAGAAATTGACTTTCTTCAGTAAAAAAGTCAATTTTTCCTCACAACCCTGTGTGTTCTCTGCAACTTTGACCAAATAACTTCAAACAGTGGCTAGCGACCTGATCATTCAAACCATGTCAGCACTAAAAGACAAGACGTAGGTAGCCCCACCTTAACCATGAAATTCATCGCACTCTAATGTCTAATCGGGCTGCTTTTAACTTTCAATAATCGGCCCACAGGTATGGTTAGTTGGTTTTGGACCGGCCCATGCACAAATCATCAAATGAATGCTCAGTCACGTTCGTCACAAGATTCATTGCTCTCTGGAATCTAAATCACCGATATCAATCAATGATTTGAGAGAAAGAACAGTAGGATTCTCTCATTTTTTGTCGCAACTCTATTAGATTGAAGATTAATTATCTAATATAAATCTATATTCCAGTGTAAGAACTCAAGACTGAAAGGATTAGATTTTGTTGTAACCCTAATTCTAATTTTTGGTTTTCTTTGTTTTGATTTTCCCTCAGAATATCCACCACCATACTGGTCCTCGCAGGATTTGGACCATATTTTAAATAAGCTAATCTACCTAGGCTGATCAAAATAAGTAACGACACAATGCCCCTGAAATGTGCAGTTACCGGTTGTTTATCTAAGTCAAGTGTAGGCTCACCCATAAAATTTTATCATTTTCCCCAAGACAGTGCTATGCGAGAGAAATGGACTCAGTTTTGCAGCTCAGAATCAACTTTGAACTACAGTACAGGTTAGTTTCAGTCCTCACCCGCTTAGCTCTTTCTTTAAGGTGAATCCAGGCTTGGAATTTCGCGATTTGGCCACCACGTCGCGCTGCTTAGAATAGTCGCATATATTTGCCAAAATACTAAAAACCGTAATACTTATTCAAAATTGGAGATCCAGGGGATATGGCAACATACTTGAGGAACACTCAGTAAAAAAATCTTCTCAAAATTCCCAAAAATAAAGTCTTAACTACGACGGAAAGGAATTCCCATTGCGGCAATGGGAGAGAGAGAGACAGAACATGAGGGATTCCGTTGTGCGCTCGGCCGCCGCCTCTGAGCTGAAAGTTTCAGCCGTACTTTCTCTGTGCTTGTAATTCTAATTGCCGATATTTTTGGCTCAAAAAATCAAGCAAAAATTAATCCATATCTTGTGGTTCTGCTTTTTGTAATTAGTAGGTACAATATTATTTCAGTAATTGTCGAAGGAAAGTGAAATTCTCAGTGGTGACTGTTGGCGCTATCTCTAATCTTGAATTATCCCTAATCGAACCCTGGATTCACCTTAAGGTGAATCCAGAAAAAGAAAAAAAGAGAAAAAAAAAGCATTTACCTGCTCAAAAAATTGGACCTTTCCACTGCTAAAATGTTTTGTAGAGGTAAATTAAGGAAAATATCTGGTAGTACTGCGGCCAAAGATTTAATTTTATTAAATGTGTTTACTGATAAATTTACTTATTTAAACTCCTAAATTATGAAAAATTATGTTGCAGGTATCAAGGAATTATATCTTTTTCCTTCATGCTATCTTCATTCCATATCTATGGAGTTTTAACATTGCAAAAATTAATGAGGAACGCTCTTGGATCATATTATGGATAAATAGTGTCCAGGTCATGGTATCATAGATTATTCACACTGTGATACTTTCAAGAAAATTCTTTTTTAGATCTCTTGTCCTAAAAATTTACAAAACCAAGCAAGCATTCCTAACTAATTTTCTAGTTAAATTTCGTTTATTTCTGGTCGTATAGGTACCCTTCAGCTTCAAATAAATGTGAAGGTCTATTATTCATTAGTGACTATTATTTTATTGTATTTTATAAGTGACTTTCCAATTTCAGCTAGAATCTGTTCGCGGCATTTCCAAAAAGCATTTATAATCAAGCGTCCGATTGATGTAGCTCTTGGTCTGAAAAGTCCTCCCAACTTCCGAAACATCACAGATGATGCTGTTCCTACCCTGAATCTGTAAGTTCAAATTTGTCACTAATTGCTAAACTTACTCAAATTGATGCTGACCAATTTCCTGCTGGAATTTGTGGCAAAATTTGCAAAATTTTTATACAGCATTGCAAGGAAACTTTTCAAAAGTTACTATTTTCTGTTTCATTTCAGGTAAATTAAATGAAAAAAAAAATTCTATAAGGAAGAGGTCCCTATTCATAAGGGGCACCATTTCAAGTTATTGCAGGGCCAGGCAAAAAAGTGGCAAGGTTCTTTTTCTATTTTTTCTCAGCCTCTCACCGCGGAAACAGCTAATGCGCGTCTTCCAGACGCCTGACGATTTTTCGTACCCTTTTCCCCTCTTCTGTCGTTTAGAGCAGTTTGCCCAGCCCAAAATGCAGGACTGGACAAATGCCCGGCCTGCGCCTCGCTCCCCCTCCAATAGCACCCTTGTTTTTGATGAACCAGGACCACCAGTGCATGCTCGTCAATAGCAAAAAACTTCAAAGTACTGTTGAAGCGAAAGGGCCAGTTTTACATGAGGGTATATTGGCAGACCACGACATTTTACAGGAAAAACCTCGTCATCAGACACAGCAGGGAAATTTTGTTAGTCCTGCAATACCTGATCTCCTGTGAATACTAGACCGCTGAATCCCAAAATGACCTCAATTTGCCCCTACCATGCATTTATTTTCGTGTAAATAGGATTTTCCTCAAAAATGTCTGTTTTATAGAGAAAATCTCGATTTTACCAAAAATTTTCGAGCTAAGGGAGGAGACCGTAGTCATTTTCAGAATTAGCGCTAAAAATTACCGGAGAATCAACCATCATTTTCTTAGTGTTGTTTTTTTTTTCTTTTTTCTTTTTTGCAGACTTGTGATATTACTTTATTTGACATACATTTACAAATCACTACTTTTTATGTTATTTGTGTTTCATCAGTGGTTAGATATGCCTAATTATTATTTCTAAAACCATCAAAATGTTCGACTTATTTCAATCACTAGAATAAATAGGAATATGTAAGCATTTGCTATTTGTATAGCACTTCCATGCACCCTGCAACACCTAACCACCACTCAGCCACTACCATCTATTTTTCCGTGTGGCAAATGGTACTCGCTCATTTCTGCTGCCTACCATCAATTCATAATTTGGCAGAGCATTCTTAACGTTTTCTGCCAGGGAGGACCCATTTCAGGACCCTCTCAGGCATCCTTTGCACATGACCACATCTGATAAGCTGTTTTGCGAAGATGTCATGTTCTGTGTTTTCATTGAAGTCCATAAATTTGTGTATTCTTTGTTCTGAACATGATCCTCTCTTGAAATTCTGGATGATCACCAGAAATCCATCTTGGTTGCCTTATTGAAATGTCTTGGGATTGCTTATCTCAATGCCATGCCTCACTGCCATAGTTTAATATACTCCTAATGATGCAGTCATGTATATTTGGCTTCCTTGTCTTTGGATTTTTTCTGGTCCTTAAGAATCATTCTAATGACCCTCCTCCCTTTCAGATTTCGATCTTTAGTTGTTTGGCCCAATTTGTGGTCCAGTGTTAAGCGTACTCCCATTCACTTGTATTTGATCCTAGTCTTTGATTCTCTAGCCATCCTCTAAATCTATTTCATTATTAATGTTTGGCTCCCATATTGCTATTCTCTATTATTATTATTATTTTTTTTTTTTTTTTTTTTTTTTTTTTTTTTTTTTTTTTTTTTTTTGTAACTCAGAAGAGGGAACACTTCCGGCACAAGTATTACTGACGGGCCACAGGCCAAAGTCAGTAACACATACTATCTTGCTTGAAAAAAGGGTAAACGTTATTTTAAAGTAAAATTTAAAAAAAAAATTTTAAAAAAATTAAATTTTAAGCGAAATCAAAAAAATTATTCGATATTAAGAAACGACCTGACAATACTTGACGTGCTTATAACGATGGACTTCTGCATTGAATGAAGCAGGTAACTGTTTATTCCGAGGTCTCGAAGATGTTGAACTAAACTTTTTGGAACTATCCCCGTTACTGACATTATCAGGGGTTTGATACAAACAATATTCAGGTTCCATAATCGCTTCATTTCTGCAGCTAAGGGCAGATATTTTACCATCTTTTCCTGATACTTCAGCTCCAAGNTCACAAAACCATCCTCCCGCACTATAACGCCGTTTTCTATATGGAGCGTCGCGCATTTAGGTACTCCAAGCATCATGCCAATATCATCACTGACCTCTTCAATCACCTTGAAAAGTTGATGCAACTGGTCTCTTTGGGATGCATAGATCTTAATATCATCCAAGTAGGCTAGGTGGTTGATGACGTGGAGTACTTGTCTGTTCCGACGCAGAGGGAACCCTACCTTCATCTCTCGAATGCAATTTGAGAGGGGATTGAGGCCTAAACAGAACCACAATGCACTAAGACTGTCACCTTGAAAAATACCTCGCAGGATGTGGATGACCTCAGTTTCTAATTCACTCGCCGATCCTTGTATTATGATTCTGGTGCGCCAAGATGCCAAAATGCTCTTCAGGAAATGAACAATGACAGGATGGACTCGGTAGATATTTAAAACGTGAATTAGCCAGCTGTGCGGCATTGAATCAAAAGCTTTTTTGTAGTCGATGTAACCCACATGTAAGTTACGACGTTCCTTTACAGCCTGCTTGAGCACAACCGAATCAATTATTAACAGCTCTTTGCACCCGAAGCTTCCCTTGCGACACCCTTTCTGCTCTTCACACAAAATTTTCCACTTAGCTACATGTCTCCCAATTAATCGGGTTACAATGGATGTGATGACTTTATAGAGCGTGGAGAGACATGTAATCGGTCTATACTCAGATGGGTCCTTCGAATCGCCTCCTTTATGTTTCGCAAACGTCACTCCTTCAGTCAGAAATATCGGCATTTTGTCAGGATGAGTAATAATATCTTGAATGCTTCTTGAAAGCTGCGTATGCACACATGTTAACTTTTTCAGCCAGAAATTGTGAACTTTGTCTGGTCCGGGAGCCTTCCAGTTATGAATATGCAAAGTTGCTCTCCGCACATCTTCCTTAGTGATTTCAACCTCACCTTCATGTGTAATGTGGGCATGACGCACTGTTTCCTGCTCAATCCAAGGAGCTGTGCTATTATGCTCCTTGGCCTCTGACCAGATGGATCGCCAAAATCGCGTTACGTCATCTTTCGATGGGATTTCTTCGGGAGCGTTTCTCACATCCGCGGCGTTTCCCATCCTTCGATAGAAGGCTCTCTCATTACGCTGAAACAGAGCATTATCTAAATGGCGCTGGTATGATTTTTTATATCTTCTGAGTCGGGCAGCTTGAACTTTTAACTTCTGCTTCAGTGTATCAAGATGGGTTAAAAGGTTTTCCTCATTCACATGGGCCATCTTCGCCCTTAACCTCTTTGAGGTATTCCCCTTGACACACTGGGTGACTCTCCCAATCTCCTGCCTTAGGTTGGCCACTTTCCTTTCAATCCTAAGTTGCCATCTTGGTGCATTCAGTTTGATTCCCCTACGCCCATGATTTGTGGGGCCTTTGACGGCTTGTGTTATCGCCTGAGCTGCACAATAGATGATGCAATGAACTTCCTCCAACGTTGATTCTTCACGAATGTGTGCTGGTATAATTCGGTTCATCCTCTCAATACACGCGAACAACTTAGGAGTGTAAGGAAGTTTTGGCAGTGACTGTCTAAGATTTGGACTGACTCCTTGCCATTTGATCATTTCAGCAATAAATGCAACCTCTAGCGTATCAGCTTTGATAAAGTTCTCGTCAGCAGTATCAGTTGCACACTCATCACTTATTATTATTATTATTATTATTATTATTATTTTCCTTTCAGTCCTCCTCAAGATGGAGAGGAAAAGACCTCACAAACCGTAGATCAAAACTCAGTCGCCCTAGATACTACAGAGGTTCAAAGTGCTTCAACCTGCAAAACTACCTCTGCATGCTCAACAACTCCAAGGTTAGTAAAGATGAATCAAAGTAAAATTTTTTTACTGCTATAAAGTTTGTTTACCTAAATTTTATTTTTTCTTGAGGTTTTTCCAGGTCATTGGGCAGGTTTGCCAAGTGAAAAGAGCAGTAGGTTCTATAGGTAATTTATTTGAAATTTTTAGTGCTGAAATCTAGATCTAGTAATCCTGTGCCATTAAAATTGCTGAGGGAAAAACAGCAATTTCTTGATACCTAGGAGATAAATTTAAAATTTATTTTTAGCTTGTTGGAAGTATAAGGATGATCCTCTCAAATACTTTCGTATTGAATACCTTAATACCTCCTCCATACCTTTAATCCTGTTCTTTGCAGATTCCTGTAGCTGCGAAAATTGGGGAGAAATAAAAAAGCGTAACTTGTCTTTAGGATGACCTTTGTTATGAAAAAAAAGTTTGTACAGAACTACTGTCCAACTTGCTAAAAACGACCCATTATTAATTTGCCCTTTGTTTTATCATAGTTGATGCTCTCTGTTATTGTATCTTCAAATCTCTCGTTATTTTTTGCTATGTTTTTGAGACACTCGATATTTTACATCCATAAGAAGCAAGTTTTGCCATAACTTGAGATAAGTCTGGATTTGCCATCGTTATTGGAAGATTGGATCCCTATCTAACCTTCACATTGTCTACCTGCCTTGTAGTTTTACCATCTACTATGTTTTTCAGGTATTTTTTTAGTGAGTCAGCGCTGGGGAAGTCAATATCCAGTCGATATCAGAAGATCTCATCAATTCCCATTATCCGATGCAAATCAGACGTAGCTGGTCCAAAAATCGTGCAAATTGCAGGAAAGCATTTAAAATCATGTGAAGTCTCCTCTATACAGGCAACCAGTGAAAGAGAAATAACGGATTCCACCTCTGATACATCTCATGGGTGGGTATATCTCTTTGAGCAATTATTTCAACATATTTGTATCAGACCCAATAGCAACCATTCTCCCAGGTGATTTTGGCAATTTAGCTAAATAATCTCAGAGTAGGTCCACCCCAAGGCTTACCATGAAAATGAGTTCAAATCTCAGAAACTCTTATTTTATTAGACTTTAAAATTTTCTTATCACAGATCTTCGGATGAATATTCAGTCTTCTCGTTTTTTGGACCTTTGTCTGTGCATTTGAGCATTTTTGAAACAGATAGTTCAACCGTGTCTTTGCTTCTTTTCCAATCACAAGTGCAGTTTGACTTTTTTTGCTACTTTTACCTTGTAAGAATGGGCAACTATCCATACCCTTCTTCCATCCATTGAAATTTGTAGGGAAGGTGTAAAATTTTCAGGACTTTTCAGAGTCCATTTTCACTATTAACTCTATTTTGCCGTAAGTGGTACATGTGCCCTTTTCCCAATCAGTTATTCGTTTTGAGGATTTTGAAGGAGATTTTTGGGAAATCGTTTCGCTGCATGGTGTAGGAATAGCTCATTGTAACAAAAGTAAAAAAAAATCCGATTGCACCCAGCCAATATCACTATATTTTATTTCCACTTCAAAATTTATTTTTGTTTGTTTGTTTGTTGTAGTCTCTTAAAAGAAGGAAAAAATGAAGACAGAAATGAAAATTCAAATTCAACATCTAGCACCAACAGCTTAAAAGCGACTTCTGCAGAGGTGGATCCTAAAAACTCAGACTTCAGCTCTAAATCTCTAAGGTTCGTTTTTTCGAATTTATCCTGCATCCATATTAAAAATTCCTTGAAGAAGGGGAGTAAGGGATGTTTTTGCAATCAGATATCGCACACTTTTTTAAATGACAATCAGCTTATGCTAGCGTAGCAAACAAATTAGTTGAGAGGAGTCGAAGACAGTTAACGGTTGTTCGCTAGTTTTTGGTCAACAATGGGCCTGTTGCAAACTTTTGCTAGAGCAAAACCAAGAGTTGTTACCTACCTGTAGAAAATGCCTCAAAGATCACGATGAGCGCTTCGGCAAAGTCTGAAATTCACTCATAACTTCACAGTCTACGTAAGAAATATGCGGTTTTTAGAGCTTCCCGCTTCAAAAACGATACTACGGCACAGGTGAACATTTTTTTAGAGGAGTCGCTCCATCGTCGGCAATACTCATCATAGCCGACGCCAAAACACGTGTGATGGGATGAGATAACACCTCAACAGGATTAGACCAGATAACAATCGGCGTGTTTACGTTCATATTTTCCTCGCCAGCCTTGATTAACCTTGAACTCTCCTCGAATTACCCGCGGAACTGCGCAAGCGTCGGCCATGATGAATATTGCCGACGATGGAGCGACTCCTCTAACAAAATGCTCACCTGTGCCATATTATCGTTTCTGAAGCGGGAAGCTCAAAAAAACGCAAATTTCTTATGCAGATTGTGAAGTTATGAGTGCATTTCAGACTTTGCCGATGCACTCATCGTAATTTTTGAGGCATTATCTATAGGGAACAACTCTTATTTTTGCTCTAGCAAAAGTTTGCATCGGGCCCATTGCAATTATTCCGTCTAGAATCCACCTTGGAAAGTCAATGTAAAAACTGGGAAAATGGTATGAATCAATACAAACTAATTTATGTAGCCAGTCCTTCATCTTGTCGCCTACCGGTAATACCTCAGACTGCGCTCCTCATCGCAGCACCACATATGGACTGAGGGATATCCTCAATGTAATTGGGACCCAAGAAGGGTCATCTTTAAAGAGGTCACTACAAGTTTACCCGGGATAGATGATTTTGTAACAACTTTTCTTGTAATTCTTATTGAATTCAGTAGTGCCAGTGTATTAAAATGTTGCAATAAAAAAAGCTGCTGTAATAAAAGTTAATCCAACTTTTTGCCTGATTTTTCCTTGGCATCGGTAACATGTGTCAAACTTGTCATTCTGTAGATCAGTGGTGCATGATGTAAAATGCTATTTGATGGTCAAATCTCATTGATCAGCACAAAATATCAGGAACTGCTTTTACATCAAGTATACATTTAATATTAAGGTAGATGTTTCCTTTTTTTGGAAAATATGGTGATTGTGTATCCACCACAGTAGCGTAGACCCTGATTCTTTTCACCTCGGATTTCTCAATCAGTGATACATCTGTTTACTGGGTTTGCTCTAGGTGCCTGCAAATTTTGCGCACCTTACATTTTCATTTTCACTAAATGATACTTCTCAGCTTGTGTTCCCATCAACTGGTCTTTATTATCTAATAGATCATTTACATTTTTAGCACTATTCTGCCAGCCCCACCAATGGAGGTAACAACTACAATAGGATCAAACTTAAGCCAGGATAATGTGACTGAATCATTGTGTGCACCTCCACCTACAAAGAAACTCAGATTATTACTTCCCAAAAGCCGAGAATTAGTTTCTGAAGAAATTCCATACATGTCATTTATTTCGTAAGTACCAGAATTGAGTATTGAATTTGTGTTGAATATTGAATTGAATTTGTTTTTGCAATTTGCATATTCATAACAAGGAAAAGAGAGAATATCAAGTTATTAAAAAAATTGATACTGTCAACTTGACGTTTAATGATTAAAAAAGTGACCCACTCTTGGGCAGCTGAGAAAGTATCCCAGTGAAATAGTCACTATTCCAGCAATCATTATAGCAAGTCTTACAACTTTTATTCGGTTCTATACTCCATAACAACAATAAATTTTACTCCCCTTATTTTTATATCCTTAATATGTATAAACTTTAGTTGATGAACAAATCTGAACAAGAAAAATTGAAAAGGTTATGAAGCAAATAAACGAACAGCACTTCTCCCGTGCTGCTCCTCTCCAGGGCTGCATTAGCCAGAGTACTGGGGTGCTACTGCACTAGATTCTTTTAGGTAGATTTCGAAGAAATATCTACCTATTGCAGACGGTACGACCTCGTAATTTTCGCTCAAAGAGCATCGACCCTGAAGCCCTGAGTTCAAAAATGTAGGTCATAAAAAAAGTACGATATATATTTATATATATATAACTGGGATCTAACGAAACTTTGCGACCGTTTTTTTTTCGGAACTATCAATACGATCAAAACGAAACTAAGCATGGTTCTTCACTGCTATGAGGTCTACATTAAGTTTCCTTTTTTGTGAAAATCGGCCCACCCCTTATCCGGAAAATCTCAAGTCCTAAGGGGGATGATTTTTCAAACTCGTCCGATCTTAGTCGGTGATACGTCAAAAAACTCGTCTCGTCGTGGCCTTCAAAACAACCTGTATTCACCTACCCTCTAAAACCACCCCTTATCCGGAAAATCTCAAGTCCAAAGGGGGATGATTTTTCAAACTCGTCCGATCTTGGTCGGTGATACGTCAAAAAACTCGTCTTGTTGTGGCCTTCAAAACAACCTGTATTCACCTACCCTCTGAAACCACCCCTTATCCGGAAAATCTCAAGTCTGAAGGGGGACGATTTTCCGATCTGTCAGGCTCATTAGGCGCAATTGTTTTCATTGAAACGATTAGTCGAAATCTACCTTTCGTTTCCACTGTGGCTGGAAAGCGTTTTTTTTTTTTTAAAGAAATACTTATTCTGTGTTTCCTTCTTTGACGAATTTCTTTTTTTTTCCCAGAGATAATAACCACACTATCACCGAAGAATCTTTTGCCTCTGACAATGTATCAATAAAGTCTTCTGGAAAGTTAAAAGCAAGGTGGGTACTTTGATACTTCCTAAATTTTTTATTAATTTTCTCCTTTCAAACACCAACGTGATTTGCATTTGAATGTCCTATAGAATTTGCAAAGGAAATGTAAAAAATTCAAAGTCAATTTGTTGTGAAAATATAAAGATTTTATCACCTAAAGCTTTTCGGACATAAATTTTCCATCTTCAGCGGTCTTACAAATTACAAGTTTCGGCAAATAATATACTTGTTTACATTAGCGGATTCAGGAACTGGAAAGGCAATGTCAAGTTTGGAGATCCAGGATAGACACATTAGGAGGGTCCTTACGGCCTTCTCAAGAAAATTTTGTGAAAAATTGAAATTGACAGACAACATGAGTCAAAACACTTTCATCATTGAAATTTACACGATTTCATAACATCCTGGCTACATATATTTTTTATATTTCCTTCTCTGGGATTACTTACTTATAATATGTCCAACTAATAAGTAAATTATTGCAATGAGTCTTGTATAGGAGGAAAATTCCATATTTTAAGCTCAAGGAATTGAGAAAATAAAAAATATAAAAAATCGGTCCATAAGCAAACCTTTATAGAAATATTTTTTTAATTTTTATTTTATCAAGCTCATTATTATTTGATGGAATTGCATATTTTTTCAAAATTTTGTTGGAGACCTCAATTTGTAAAATCAGGACCCTCTTTTATCCTCCAAAAAGAGGCAGGAAGGAGAGCGCTTCGGTATGATGAAATCTTATTCCTCAGGATTGATTCCCTATTTGCCCTTAACATCTGCAACCTCGCCTGACTAGAAATAATCAAGAAAAAAGTTAGTAAGCATGGATGGTATAGGTCACCCTGTATCAAGCTGCTGCGTGAAAACAGATGCAATACCATACTTCTCAAATCTTCTCTGAAAGAAGTAGGTATTGAAGCCGCATGAAAACATCCTTTTTCCTAAAGATTAGTTTTCTTCTTTTTTTCCAGTAATTCATCTCAATACATCATTCTAAAGCGATCAAAATGGGAAGAGAACGACCAGAAAATACGAGTCCTCAGTACCAGAATGAATGAACTGAACAACCTTGCCACCAAGTATACAAGCGCTTTAGAAGAGATGGTAGTATTAAACCAAAGGTTAGTCTCAGCTAAAGGGGGAAATATTGAAAGTGATAATGAAATAATAAAACATTTGAAGTTAGAAAATGCCAAACTGAATCGTGAAGTAGCTGGTTTAAGGAAAGATAAAGAAAAGTTAGCAAATGAAAATCGTGCTTTAAGAAGTGACAAGGAGAAACTTGAGGAACGATTCAAAAAACATGCAATAATGCTGAAGCAATATTTCACCACAGGCCAGTTGAAGAGAATGTTTGCTGATGATCCGATGAGTCGGTCTCGCTGGACGCCTGAAGATGTAGAACAAGCACTTGCCTTAAAAGCTGAGAGCACTGCTGCCTACAATTATCTCCAAGATAGATTTGCCTTTCTCCTACCTAATCTTGCAACTCTGAGGCGATGGGTGAGGGCCAAGAAGATCAATATGGATGAGCAAATTGCCAATAACCCAACAGAACCTCCCTCAGAACAAGATAAAGCTTTGCAGAATTTGATTCTCCTGCATGACCAGACAAATGAAATCAACTCTGAAGAAATTAGTTTAGATGAAAATTTATTAAGTAATGGTACAATCGAAATTGTAATGGAAGAATAATGCATGCTTCTGGCAACTACTCTGTTGTTTATGAATGTTCATTAATGTCTTGAAGATCTTATTAGGTGTGCCAGCAAGCTTCATCAATGCATCACATCTATCAAGAGCCAATTTTCTGGCAGATTTGGAAAATCTCTTCATAATCAAGAGAAGATAGTATTGAAAGATGATCCTGGTCAATCCAAGATCAACTGTCACCTTCAAACAAAGGTGAAGAACAACGTCTAACTAAAAAGGAAAGCAAGCAGGATTGTGACTACAAGATTTATGGAAATTCTCTAAGACTTACAACTACAAGGAATGGCATAAGAATAGCGACTGACTACATAGACAATAAGAAAAAGAGTACACTCGGTGGGCGAACGCCTTATGCTAAGTGGGGGATGGTACTGAGTACCAAAAGGACTTCCTGTTTAAGAAAACAACTTGCCGGATTTCTGATCACTGATGGGCAAAGTAAACTTAATTCTGTTTTTCTCAAGACTGTACTTTTTCTGCCTCTTATGGGTGATTTTGTAAGCCATGTCCTCAATTGTGTCTGCTTGCCAAAGATAGGCAGTTAATATGATCAAATCTCTGTGAACAGAAAGTGTGGACCAGTATGAATCTTCATCATTTCTTTTGCCATCGTTTATATTTAGATTCACAACTAAAGCACTCACTGTTTATGCTCTTTCTCCTGTCACTACGTGGATTTTCCTTTGTCTGTAGTGGATTTCACCTGTTGATAGGCAGGGATTAAAATTAACTTAATGCAGGGCAACAAATATACTGGATCAAGTCTTGATCTACATTGTTGTGTGACAACGTTTTACGGTCCTCTTTTGCTGCTTAATTACCGCTAAGTAATTTGATAAAATAGTTTCAATAATAATAGTGCAATTGCTGCTTGTCAGAGTTGAGGGATGGGTCAACTTTTACCTAGTTTCATAGTGTATTCCCCTCCACCTCAATTGCAAGTATGTGATGTCTTGGAAACAATGTTTTAGAGTTGGGAAATCAACCAATAAATTTATTTATTTTGTTTCCCCTCTGAGTTCGGACGTTTTATTTTGTCAATTTTACTCCTGCAATCTTATCCTTGTATAAAAGCAAGGTTAGTCAATATGGGTTCCATGAAGAATGCACAATGGTGCAAAGGTTGACAGTATAACATACTGTTCTTTTTTTCTCTTTTCACAAGATGGATTTTTCTGGGGCTTTGGTGGATTTCTCTTGTAGATTGACATCAATTAAAATTGACTTTGATTGGCAGAGCAAAAAATGTACTGGATCTTGTCCTGATCTTCACTGTCATGTGATAATTTGCTCTCTTTCTGCTATAGCGTGATGTAAAATGCACCATTGGTATCCTAACCTTGCAATAGATTTTCATCTCTTTTTTACTTAAAAAAAAAGAAATTTATTTACCTACATCATTTTCCTAAACCTGGAACAGATTTTCATCTCATTTTTTCCGAATAAAAGGAATTGAATTAGATCATACGAAGACACAGACCTCAAAGATTAAAAAAAAATAATTTATTTACACAATTAAAAACAGATGAAATATCTTTGACATTTGCAACAACTATAAATATCTAATTCCATATTTTCCTAAGTTGTTTCATTATCATTTAACTTTTGATTTACTTTATCATATTCAGCTTTTGTTCTTATCTCCATTTCATCTTCAACTTGCTCAACTGCAACCACCTAAAAAAGAGAGAAAAAATTAACGGACATTGTTCTAAGTGTCATCTTTTTCTTTTAATTTTTTGTCTAACTTTTCAAACTCTGCTTTAGATAGCATCTGGGCTTCATCCTCAATTTGCTCCACTGCTACGACCTAAAAAAGACAAAATTCGTGTATTATTAACCTTTTGGTCCAATTTCTTGAATCTAAAATGTGTGGCCATGACCATTGAAAATTATAAAAAAAAATAAGACGATTGCTGTACAGCATAACGAGGCAGTTGCATGAGAAAATGGGTGCTTTTCTTGACACAATTTTACACTCCAAGAGAATAGTAGTAACTTAGAGATGAGAGAATTTGTGAATATTTCAGGGATTATTTTAGAAGACAAAAGAAATACGGGGGAAAATTGTCGAGTGATTCTGCTAATCAGCTTTTCCATGAAAAATAGGATACTTTTGAGGAGTTAGGCAACATAGTGCCCAGGCACAAAAGATGCTTGTGATACTTTGGCCAGAAGTTGACGAAATCAGCTATTATTCGATGATTCTCACCTCAGGAATGTAGAACTGTAACATATTCTGCACACCATTTTTCAGTGTCACCACTGAACTCGGGCAGCTTGTGCATGAGCCTTGCATTTTCAGTTTCACAATTCCATCTGAAAAACTCTGATCAATCAAGAACAAAAATTAGAAACAAATCTAAACCTATTTTCAAAACTGTATGTATACAAAGAATCAGGGAAAGTATCCGTTGGCGCTAAGAATAAATAACAAATTAACGGCCAAAGTTAAACAATGTATTCTATCTTTATTACAACATTTCGTAACATCAGATCATGTGTTATTTTTTTAAGAGAATATCAACCAGAACATCTCCTTGAAATTCTCTTTAAATATTGTGAATAAGTGAAAAAAATTCACAGAAAATTTAAGAAAAATTACGGGCTAGTTAGCTCTGAAGACATAAAACTCAAGCACAGAATTGCATCATTCCAACAGGAGATACGCATCCTTCAACTTGAGCCTTTGAGATTTAAAATAAGTTGGCAGTAGTCAATCCCAAACAGATGAGCATAATAGGTCAGTTGCGCTGGTCACAGAATCATGTTTTGATACTTGATTCTTGTGGATAAGCTAAAAATAATAAGATTTGTCCAAACCGCAAATTTCTGCCTTCAATATTAACCGAGATATCGCCCTTTGAAAAATCGGGTTTTCGACGTCATCCACCATGGTGGTGACACTCTTGGTTTTTTCCACCTTGCCTTCATCGGTTGGTGTGACGCACATTAGCAACGTGAAACCCACTTGAAAATAAGATAGAAGAAACCGAGGGTGCCACTACCGCGGTGGATGACGTCAAAAACTCGACTTTTCAAAGGGCAATACCTCCGTTAATATTGAACATAGAAAGTTGCAGTTTGGATAAATCTTATTATTTTTAGCTTATCTACAAGAATCAAGCATCAAAACACGATTCAGTGACTAGCGCAACTGATCCATTCGCCTAAATATCAATTATTCATTAAAGTCTCATAGAAAATCTCTAAAAACTCTGAAAAAACTCTGGTGTGCCTTAAAAAGACATCATGCCTGCTGTGAAAAATTAATTTTGATGTGATTTTTCTATTACTTATTGTTTGTTAATCACTCCAAAACACTGATCCTTGCATCTTACAATCCTTCATGGATAAATGAGTCGAAAAAGTTTGGGCAGACAAATTTATGGAGGAAAGGAAAAACTCAATAGAGAGTTAGGTAAACGAAAAGTCAATCTAATTCAACGCTCAATAGCTTGCGAATCAAAATCATAATTAATGATAAAATAGAATGCATGAGAAAGAAGGATAGTCTGAAAGGGTGATTCAAACAGTGATGAAAGCAATTGGTTATACAATAAGAAAATTGAAAAAATTGCTGAGGATCTTTTCAATCCGAATGATGATTGAAGTGATATTTTTTTCAGGGCTCATCCAAAAATTCATCTGCTTAAATCCAAGTTTCACGGAAAACGGGGAAATCTGTGCAATTTGGCGAAAGCTTAATCTTTCGAGCCCCAAAATGTAACTGTCTGAGACAGTCTTTTGAAACTTGCTTCTAAAGTTCAATGTACACCGAATGGCACAATCTTTCCCATTTTCCTCAATACTTCGATTTCCTCGCTTGGGTCCTAGAAAAAATATAGGTTCAACTATTGTGCAAGATTAAATGTGGGTGTGTGTGTGAACAATCCTTAAAAGTAACTGGATACGGTAGAAAGAGTGGTCATGGGCAGCAATGACACATGAACCAATAGAAGTACATAATGAGAAATATGAAACATTTAAAGTGAGACAAAACTACAGCCATCCTCAATTAGACTGATAATTGAGCGCACTGTAGTTGATGCTTGCAATTTTCTGCCTCACTAATCATGGCCTTGAAACAGATGGGTAAGCAAACAGACCTAACATGTATCTGTTGCAATTTTATTACAATGACTTACTTAAAGAAAGTAACTGTTAAAAATTTTATGGAAAAATTAAATTACCACAAATATAATGTCTCCACCATCTTCTTGTACTGTTGGTCGGATTCTTGTATCTAATAGTTCCTTGATCATTGCTACAGTCTCATCATCATCAGGGTTGATTTCTGTAATTGTAAAAAAGTACAATCAAGTGATTGATAACAAAAATCTTATTTGTTTTTTAGATTTAATGGGAAACGCAAAAAAATGAATTACACTCACACAGATGTTTAGCTAAAAAGTGTGTTCCTACCCAAGAATAATTTCAAAGATGTTTCTTCAAGATTTTCTGCAGAAGTTTTACATGGAATGTCCCTGGGTTGAATTGCCAGATCACAAGAGCATATTTTAATAACGCCTTATCACCACGGAACGTTTCACCGGATTTTCCCCAAGTTTGAATTGCAGGAATGAAACTTCTAGGATTTTTTCCCGTCAAAAAACACAACAAATTGTCTTCTTCTTTTTTTGAAGTCATTCCTGAGACTTCACAAGGACTCTTAGTAAGTACTGTGATTAATATTGACTGACTCAATATTTTTCCCAACTTCGCAAGTGAGATTTTTCCCTGGGACAAATCCCAAAAAACGACCCATGGAGACAAGGCCTAAGAGTCAAAGTTAGTCTGCTTCAAAAAGTATCACTCCTGAGATTTACAGCCTCCCTCTCCCTCCCCCCAAGTTTCCCAAAAAAAAACAGGTTTTCCTGAACTGTACCATTAATTAGACCAAACATGGATATTGATACGCTTCCATATTGTGAGGCACAAAATTTTTTAGGCAAACAGAAAGATTGTAATTTAAAGGGGCGTATCAAGAGTATCTTTGACTTGATGTGATAAAAAGTTTGAAATCTTCTGCTCACAAAGCTGATAGTTGGCGGACACTGCAATGCGTCAGATGCAGGAAAATCAGTTGGAGGACACTGCAATGCATCAGATGAGGGAAAATCACATGGTCCCTATTAGACATCCCTCCATGGTTTTTTTTTGGAGGGGGAGAGGGACTCATGATTGGAAGGGTTCACCTCTCAACTCTAGGCAAAGCGTGATAGTTTGCCTTAAGCTAAATAAATCAGGATTTGCCTTGTGCTTATCAATGAACAACTGAATCATTCAGTCTACACTCAAAGATGTCAACTCTTTCTCATAGGTAAGATGTTTTTGATAAGTAAGCCTTAGAGAGAGAAACTACTTGAGACCATTCCTTCCAATTATAAAACCAGGATGGGCAAGAGAACTGCTCAACATGTCATAACTTTTTAAATTTTTAAGTAATAGTATTCCTGTTTGGACTGCTGTTCGATCACCATACTGAGGAAGCAAACCCCCCCCCCCCCCCCCCCCCCNCTCAAGAGATCAAGATGAGAGGGGTATCTCAAAGCTATCAACAATTTTAAATTGAGGTCCTTCCGATGTGATGTACATATTGTTAAAGAGAACATAGAAAAATAACTGTTGTGACAAGTTGCATACCTTTATTTATCACCATTTCAAAATGACGCCTGCTTGAAGTTTTGAAAAATTCAACTATAGTCTGTTTCACGTAAGCTGATACTTTTTATTCGGCATTAAAATCCGTAAATGGCAACGCATCAGTCCCGAACGCGGTGACCTGACCGCTCGCCGGCCACCCTCTTTTGTTCAGCGACGAGAGGCCGGCAACCCGTCCATTGTGAGGGTAGGAACAATGGGCACCCTTCATCCCTCCTTAATGAGCCCTAGTACCCGGACCCAATTTTCTTTCTCGTTGAAAAATTAAACTTTTAGCGTGAAAATTCAGGTCCAGCGGGAAATTTTGATGAAAATGAACTAAAATTTCATCCGATTATCTTAATTTTTACCCGATATACGGCATTTGTGGTTGACCGCGATTTGGGAACCCTTCATCCCTCCTTAATGAGCCCAAGTGCTGTATATCGGGTAAAAATTAAGATAATCGGATGAAATTTTAGTTCATTTTCATCAAAATTTCCCGCTGGACCTGAATTTTCACGCTAAAAGTTTAATTTTTCAACGAGAAAGAAAATTGGGTCCGGGTACTAGGGCTCATTAAGGAGGGATGAAGGGTGCCCATTGTTCCTACCCTCACAATGGACGGGTTGCCGGCCTCTCGTCGCTGAACAAAAGAGGGTGGCCGGCGAGCGGTCAGGTCACCGCGTTCGGGACTGATGCGTTGCCATTTACGGATTTTAATGCCGAATAAAAAGTATCAGCTTATGTGAAACAAACTATAGCAGGTACTCATCAAGTTGTCATTTTGATTGAGTAATTGACTGGGGCCTTAGGTTTGGTAAAAAGTTTCTTAAATCTATTCAACGATGTATCACTCAATGAGGGCCATCTAGAGAATATGATATCCTTTACCTGGTGGGGAGAGATTTAGGGATTCCCCCCTAAAATAAATTTTGGTTCCAAACAATCCTCATCCAGGGGAAACGACATAGAAATATAAATTTTATGACAAACACCAGAGACCCCTCTTCATCACTGAGCAAGCACATTTAGAACCTCCTGGGGAAAGGGGGATCCCTTTTTATTACTAATACAAAGTGACAGCCCAACGAAGTTAATATTTTCCAAACTGTGACAAACGGACGTTTTGAAATGGTTATAGACAGTGTGCAAATTGTCTCAAAAGTTTTCTCTATTCAAGCTCTATGTAACTATATAGTTTCAGTTGGGGGGTGGGGGCTTTCATTTTACATTATCCAGGTCTCAGAGATATACCAATCCCTCTAGCACTCCTCTAGGAGTCAGATGGTAGTGACTCCTTAAAAAGTTTTCCCCTCGACAAGGAGAACAATAGTCCAAACTGGAGCATTTTAACTTTAAAATTAAACAGATTACATTGGGTTGAATATTTCAATCATCCGTCCTGGTATGCTTAATGCACTGATGCCTTCAGGAAACCACCTTTGTTACCACTCTTTGAAGCTGATGGTGGCTGACGCACATGGTGACCTCACACAACTTGCAAAATTAATACTGCATGGGTCTCTTAAAGATAAAAGGAAACTTTAGATGCTTTTTTTACAACCTTGAAATGAAGTAGTTACCAACCATTACTGAATTCTGTTTAAAAATGTTGATTGGAAAAATATTATATTCTCTTCACATTATCATTCTGTCTTCTAACTGAAAAAGAACCCCACGAGTGTGAAAGTTAGCAATACAGTGCTGATTTAATGAAGGTAAACATAAAGGAGCTATAACAGCACTCTTAAACTATATACCTAAGTACTTGATAATCTGGTAAGTGATAAGAAAAAAATTCTTACGGGTGTCTGCAGAAGGTTGAGCATCTGTGAGAACTGGTAGTCCACTGGCAAAGAAATCCATGATTGTTGCGAATATTTCAGGTTTCAAAATCTTCCATTCTATATCTTCATCGTGCTGAAAAAATATGACCGCTGTGAATTGTTTCTGATTACATGTATGACAGCAGTTTTCATTAGGTTTTGCGACAAGGGTTTTTTGAAGCTAGGCTTAGTAATAGCTTGATCAAAATCCTTCAACTTCAAAAGAAAATTTCAAATTTCTCCGGAACATGCTTGTATTTGTGATGCAAAGCACAACAAGACCTAGTAAATGCTACTTAACTTTGCAGACCCCCTCCCGAGAAAATTACCTCAAACTTTCAAGAGCTAATACAGACTCATTTCTCAGTTGAAAAAAGATATTCACTCTACAAAGTTGGTTATCTACTATGACAACAGTTCTTGCAATTCTGAGGTTTTCCTGGTAGATTCATCCTAGTTACAAGTTTAGTTAATAGTTTCGACTAGTAAACTCTGCAAGCTCAATCTTGCAGATACTCTCTATTCTTGCTTTGAATATCCATTATTGTTCATGCAACATTCCAGTTTTCCGAAAGATATCTTCAGTTTCTTCATTTCAGTAAACACATTTTTTTCAAGCTGTTAAGTCAAGGGAAGTCTAGATTTATTGCTGCCTCCTTGTGCTAAAAAGAGATGAAAACTAAGTGACTATGACCTGTTTGAAGGAAGAAGAAGCGCCTAAAGTCAAATCAAATGGTAAGTAAAATTAATAATACTAACTTTGGTGATGGTTATAAAATCTGGACCAAAAAAGACTGATTTGACACCGTCGATGCGAAAAAGCAATTTCCCTAAGGGTGAGCAGTAGGCGGTGGTGCCATTTGGAAAATCGATCGTTTGACCCTCTTCTAGCACCTAGAAATAAGAAAATTTCAGATTAATTGAAGAAGTTAATATCCTACTTGACTTGACTTTCACAATCTCACTGAAATATGAATCTGTGGGCTCCTAATAAACAATGTCTACAGGCACAGTGCTGTTATGGTATTTTAGAACAACTGAGAAAAGTAGAATTGAAAATCAATACTAGCCTTTGTTCCGGGAAGAAATTTCAAACTATTTGGGTTAGGGGTCTCTTGCGTTTGAATGAACATATTTCTAGTGACAGTGAGGTTTGGTGTGAATGACTGTCTGTATGCCAGTAATGGTGCATTGAATTTGTTTTGATGGTATCCAGAGACAACATCATGTAGTCTGAAACAAAACAGGTCTCATATTAGAACAATTAGGTAATCCTTAGAAATTTCCACCGTTTTAGAAGAAAGTAAATGAAGGCTAATTTTAAAGTGCCGAGTTTGTGACTGCAGTAATTCAAGAGGGTAGCAATAGAACCTCAGATACTAGCCTTAGAAATGTTAATCCGCATCATTTGGTGCAAGGAACACCCTAAAATAACCCTTTGAAAGTAACTATGAGATCGGAAATGAAAAACAAGGAATTTCTAATCGGTGTTAAAATTTACCACTGTTGTTGCCAGGCTGAGGATCCTTTACTTCAAATACTTACAACATTATCACTAGGTAATGCAAATTATCGCTTGAAACTTTGACCCAATGTTGTTAAAAGTATTGGAAAGTGGTTAGGATCAAAAACTGAAAATTGATATTTTAGAGTCCTAGCCGGTATTATCACTATACTTACCAAACAATATGACTTTCAACTTCAAAAATATTTTGCGCTGCTAGGTACATCAAATTGAGAGTTTTTCTTACACTGAATATTCAAACTTGTAAATATTACTAGTTTTAAATCATCATTTACAAATTATTTTACAAGCTATGCAACTAAAGATGTCAATTGATCCTCTGTTCATCAATGCCAGAGGTCAAATTTGATAAAAGCTTATTCATCTATTGGGAAAATCTTGTCAATTGTTCACCCGGCGCTAAAGGTGCCAATCAAAGAATGCTTGCTTCATTTGGGCTGAATAATGATGATTTGCAGCTGCATGAGGAAACAGCTGTGTACAATTCATTGTATATTTGTATCACTGTATGTGCTTGCAGTTGTATCTAAAGTAGACATTGTGCAATATGTGTAATAACAAGTTTGTCAACGGCGAGTTGTCCTAATATATCGACATACTGCTCACAGAAACTCACAGCGATACTTTTGAACAACTATACAATGAACCGGACTAAATGATTTGATACTTGATTAAATTTCAAACAACTATGGAACAATATTTGGTAAAATCCTTCGTTGACTGGTTGTCGAGAAAGTCATAACCTTTATTGGCATCCTTACCTCGCCTGAAATTGGCGGCTTAAAAGCCTTTTGCAAGCTTGAAAACTCATTGACGGTTAATGCTGAGTTAGGAATTATTCAATTTAAGTGTAGAATGAAACTAAGAAACTCTCCCTGAAGAAATCCCGAATTTGCTTACACCTTGGAGACTGTTCGACTATTCAAAGTCACATAAAATGATTAGTATACACAAGAATCGCACTGTTTAATAGTTTGGAAGATTTGGTGGGTACAGAAAAGAATATCATTAAAACTAGAGGAGAAGAGAGGGAAGAAAACCCACGATAAATGAAAAAATTCACCACAGTATTCTGCTGTCTGATACCTTATCACTAAAGACGTGTTTATAAACAAGAAGAACACTCGAACATCGAGACATCGAGTCGAAGGCTTCCGACTCATATCGATAGTCGATATATTGCAGCTGTTACTTACTGTTGTTTTGTTTGGTTATGTTCATCAACACACGTGTGTAGAGTATCAGCAATCATTATTCTTTTTCAATATATTCGTGTATGAACTAAAACCGTCTTTATCATCATGCCATTTATACAGAGGGTCAAGTAAGTGTAATTTTGCTTTGAAATGTTTTTTCCACGTCTTGACAAATTATTTTTCGAAAGTATCATGCACATGATTTTAACCTAAAATGAAGGTATCGCAGTCTTGAACCAAAGTTTTAAAAGCGTTTGGTTCTTTAGATTTATGTATTTTGCATGTTACCATTTCAACGGCTCAAAAGGCGTTTAGCGGACAATGCAAGGGTGTAAAGGCGACTGAATACAATTCAGCGGTGAAACTTTGAAACCACGTATCTTGGTTTGCCACGTTTATGCGTCAGACGTAATCCAAATTTCAAGCCCAGTTGCATCTATACAGGCATAGAAAACTAGGTGTCAAGCAGCCTACCTCATTTTGATTTGGTATCATTCTATGCATGCTCATGCGATTTTATCAAGTCGTTGAGTTTTGTTCTTTTTATTTTAAAAGGGAGTAATTAATGTCAGCATATAAACCTGGTGCTAAAAGTAAGTTTGTGACAGACAGCAGACCTCACCAGTGATTACCCAGGTAAGTGCGTTGTGAGTTTGACTATCATATTTGAATGCCTGTCGAAATGACGCTTTTTACCAGATAATTGTCATGGCGGTTCAACGCTCACTGAAACAGCGCAGCACCTTTGCAGCTACTGAATGGAACATTGAGCTAGTTGAAGCTGGAAGGGGGTAAACTACAACGATTATCAAAGTAACGTGAAAGCAGTCAGGCTTCAGTTGAACAGCAGGTAATCAACTGGTAATTTCAGCAATGAATCTCTGTTGTCTCACAAATGCACCTTTATAAAGGACTTTGTCAAGGCAAACTTACCGACTTTGGTTCTTCTGTTCATTGAATGTGATTGTATTGTCCCATCAACATCTCCAGACCGCTGAGCATTAGGTAGAAATGTTGCGCGTTCTCATGTAAATTCACCAGTCCTCGGGTAATTCTAACAGAGTCCATCAATAGGTGCGTTGTCAAGGTGAATTGTTTGGGAACAGAATTACCTGATGCCGGACAATCAACATTGTTTGAGTCTGTTTGAATTATGTGATGATTTAGGTGTTTATAAATGAGCGCCAAAGGTTTCTCTTGGACGCTCTATGATCTCAGACGATTGATGGGGCTATCGAATTCCATTAAGTAAACAAGTAGATGGCTTGACGGCTTATTTAATTAATGTGAATTTTTGTTAAGTATTATTTTATTTTATTCGTATCTCACTGATTTCTGATTTTCATATTTATAATTACTTAAGTACTTCGGATCAAAGACTAATGAATTTTTATTTTTTAATAGACGGCCAGTGACAGCAAAAGGCAGACGAATTTTGCTAAAGAAGCAACCCAGATTTGTTGAATTCCCTAAGCAGACAATGTACGTTAGAGGCAAAAAAGCAAATGCACTGACTATGGACTGCATGAAAGAAATTGTAAGATTAAAGTTTATCAAAACCAGAATTAGTTTTGTATCTCTGTTTTTCTAGAAGTTACAACTTTACTCCAGGGATGATCAAAGTATATAAACATACTTTTCTTTGGTTGTGCCATTCCAGATTTCTACCCATCTTTTATTTTTTAAAAGAAAACCAGACTGTTGTCTCTCTTCCAATTTTCTGTGAATTCTCTGGACTCATTAAACAAATATTCACAAGAAAGTTGAAGGAGATATTTTGGTCTATTTTCTTGTAAATTTCTGATGCCTGTTCTGAGCCTGAATTTTTGGCATTTTCTACACTGTTCCTAGCGTACACTGCAAAAGCAAAAAACACGGCATTAATAAATTTATCGTAACAAGCCAAAGAAAAAGTCCAAGTTTGATCAAAGGCAGCAGCTCTGGATATTTCCTTTGTCAGTGTCTTCAATCCTTTACTAATAGACGTTGTTAGCAGTTGCACGCATCAAGTGCGATGCTTGTTTTAATCTAAAACAGTTGAACAGTGTAGACAGACTACTACTGGATGACCAAGTCTCTCCTCCATCCTGCTGCCTCTAAGGAGCGAACAGTTAAATAGATTTGCAGGGTCATCCATGGTCACAATGATGGATTTTTCAGTGTCCTCAAAAAAAAAATCACTAATAGGGATGGATGAGGGTACCTATCTCAGTGAGTTTTGCCTTGGTCACCACACCACCCAGACTAGCTCTAGTATCTTATTTAAAGGGAAAATTAAAAGATCAACTATAAAAACAGGCTACATTTCCTTTACTGATACACTGATCTGAGCATGTAAATTTTTTTGTTTACAGTATCAACTAAAAAAACCAGGAGGTCTTTTATTCACCAAGAAACATGACATTTTGCCGTTCGAAAATGTTGGACTCCTGGAAAATTATTCACAGCGGCGCGGAGCCTCACTATTTATTTTCGCCTCTTCGAACAAGAAGCACCCTCATAGTTTAATATTTGGTAATCATTTCAACTTGTCCATGCTACTTTTGTTTGAACCTGGGCCATTTCACTTTTTTTTACAATTTGTCTTATTTGAGTCCTGAAAAAAAGTGAGGAAAGATTTTTCAAACAAATCTAACGATATATAAAGTAGATAAAACAGAGCCATTTGATTTCATAACTGTCCTTGGGAGGTACATCTGCTGCATATATTTTAATGAGGGTTTATCCTCTGTTTCTGTAGTTTTATTCTAGGATAACATATGTGTATAGAAAAGAATGATGCATCCTGCTTTTAAGCAAATTAAGTAAATTGCCTTTTAGAGGGGAAATGCTAACAGTTGAGGCTGTCAACTAAAGACTGATCTTTACCAAAAGCAGCACAATAGTTAGAGAAAGGTAATTCTGGCTGCTGTGATCTCCTAAACTAAATCATTGGCACAATTTCATAAAATGAGGTTTTGGCACTATTTAAGGATTAGGCTCTAGGTATGTACTGCTTTTCAATGGAAGGATCTCAATTCGGAATTATGCAACCTTGAAAAAATCTTTCTCATTTTCTGCGGCTGTTAGCATAAAGCCATACAAGGATTGAGGTCTTTTCAACTTCCCAGTCAACAATGAACTTTTTAGAAGCATGAGTACCCTTAGAAAGTAGGAAATTTACGAAACGAAATGAATGTCACCAAAAAATTATTTTTGTCAAAGGAATTTTGGAAATAATTCTGCGACGGGTTTATTCAGGGTGTCAAGTTTCCCTAGATTTCAATTCGCCCAATCTCTGAAGAGCTGGGTAAAATTACTCATCTTCTTTAGATTTTACTAGACTTTTCAAGAACTTGTCACTCTGTTTTTTAATTTTTGTAACACTTTCTTCGGTTGGATTTTGATCATAGAAAAAGATCATTTATTTGTATGGAGTGCCTCGGAAATCATGCTGTTTTTATGCAAGATTTAGAATTTTGGAGTTCTCATGTGTAAGACAAAAATGCTGATAATATAGCACAAGATATGTTGAAGTTATGGAGAAAACGCTTTGGAAAAACATTTAAGCCATTTCTGGTTTTTTGTTTACTTAATATCTTATACACATCCCACACTTATGCCTGTTAAGACTGTCATGGGAAAAAATGTGAATGAGAACTAACTAAAAAAACCAATTTATCGGGTGCGTTTTATTGCTGGTCAGTGAAGTATATCTTTCAATACAAATTTAATCGATAAAGGAAATTTTATTCCCCCCAAAAGGCAGGACCCATGATCACCAGTTATTGGATATGGTCGAATTAGAAATAGAAGCATTCAAATCCATCAAGGAGTTCAAAACGGAGCATGTAGCAGTTGGGCTCAAGCCTTGCATCCTCTTTGCAGGAGAAGATTTTCAGACAAGTTATGACCACAAACGAATTCAAAATCTACTAGTTGACATGTTCCAGCGAGAAGTTGTCACAGATATACGTCTTCAAGGCCTCGAACATGTTATCATGTTCACTGCTGCGGATGACAAAATATTTTTGCGGAATTACAGGTATTTCTTCAATACTGCAATATTTTCATGTATTTTCTCATTCTTTCCGAAAGACTATGCAAACAAGAAGGTGCTGGTTGTCACTTAGGAGGCGGCAGCACTTTGGTGTTACCGAAGGGAGCAGTAAAAGACGCTCAAATATTTGGAATCCATCTACTTACTCTAATTTAGATAAACTCACGGATTCAACAGCAAATTTTGCCTTGTCATTTGTGTTCTTCTAGTAAGTTCACAAGGATTGACTGTGTCTCATGCGAAACAGTAGTAAAGTTTATAATTCCGCCAGAGAGTTGTACTTATTTAGTGTAATAATGCTCTTTTCTGCCAATTTCTTACCTCAAAATTCGTTTGTTGTGTGTCCCAACCGCAACTTTGAAAATGTGCCGAAGATTGTACTTTCAGTTGCCTTGCCTTTCATACATAGAAACTAAAAAGGCCCTTTTAATATGATTAATAATCGATTTCTGGGAGTCTTTCAGATGATTAGTGGCAATTTTGCAAAGAACAGAGGTTTCCTCTAATAAAATTTTCCGCTCAGACGCTACCAGGTTTACTTTCTCAAAACTTCATTTTTGCACTTTCTGAACCTTTTTGAAGGTTTCAAACAATGACTTGCAACTGCTTGACCAAGTGCTAGCTCCTGCTTCCTCTTATTCCTTAAGTAAGTAAGGCCGGGCTGACCGGCGAGGCGCGCTCAAGGGGCCAAGGCAACTGGCAACTGCCGTCGTGCACCCCGAAGTTGGACCGTGCTCCTTAACCTCGTACTATGGACACATTGTGTATCCTCTATATTCCCGCAAGGCTCTGTGGCCGTCTGATAGCCAATGGTAGGTCTTATCAAAGACTGTGGCAGACGCTGCAGAGCACAGATTTTCGGAGCACGGCCATGCCTCCACCGAGTTGGATTATGTTGTTGCAATCTCCACTGATAGGTAGCGCTGGCAGTCACGCACACTACGAGTGATCACCGAGTTTTTCACAACCCAGTCGATCCGTGCAGATGAATTACTTACTGGGTGACTATGTCCCTCCTGCACCCTGTTACCTCGAAGGGTCAGAGTATTGGAGTGGCATAGTCATCCACAGTCTCCTCCGGGGATTGAACCCGGGACCTCAAAGTTGGCAGCGAACTGCCTTGACCACTACACCATTGAGGCTGACTTCTTATTCTTTATTTTTTGTGATCGTTCCATCCTTCAGCTCCCTTGTTCTTAGCAGCGATTCTAGTTTTATCAAATAATCATTGAGTTCATAAAACATACTAAATTACTAATTTCAAGTAATCACCAAGTAGCATGTAGCCATGCAGCATCATTTTGTTCCAGATGCTGCCTGAATTTGTTACTATTTCCCATGGTAAAATGGATCGCAGCATTGTTAGAGGACTAATATATTTGTGAATCCAAGTCTTGATTTTCACTTCCTTGCTCACAGGCACCGTAGTTCTAGTCAAGTATTTGTTCTGGAGTCTTGTTGTACCATGCAGTCTTTTTGTAAACTGTATCTTTGACAGTTTGACATTGACAGATGCTAAAATCACATCAAACCGTAAACAGACGTCTGATTTGAATATTTTGGAGGTTTGCAATTACCAGTATGATTTGTTTAAAGTGAAGTATAAAACCTTTATTTAACTTGATCATCCTACAAAATTTTAGGATTGTAAGTTTCATAATTTTTTCTTTTGATTTCTTTCTAATTCGGATAATATCTCTATTTTTTATTAGGGTGCAATTAAAAAAATCAGGAAGTCGAATCCCAAGAGTTGAATTAGAGGAAATCGGACCAGCAGTCGACTTCAGAATTGGTCGTAAAAAGTTAGCCACTGAGGACTTATTTAAGAGCGCATGTAAACAACCAACGTCCATTGATGTGAGTCATTTCCTCAACAGATTTTCTCTTAATTTCATGTTTTATTTAGCAGATTTTTTCCATGTTAATAACCTGTGTATGCTTTGTCCTACTCGAAAATTATTTGTGCAAAAATGCCAATTTGTTTACCAAATCCCAGACTTCCAAAACATTTTGGAGAGATGCTAGAGGGATAGTCTCAGTTGGAACCTTCATGCCTCAATATTTATCGAACGAAAGAAGATTTCAAACTTTGTTTTTTACTATAAATTGTTTAAAAGTGCCCTCTCTAGGATCCTTGAAAATAAAATCTCAAGGTTCGATTTTCAGCTCATGCTTTATGCATTTTTTCTGTCTTTATAATGAAAAACAAAATTTTAAATAAAAGATCACAGATCTCAATCCTCATTTAAACCAAAACCAATTTTGTGAACTGGTCTTCTTAAGCTGGACCCACACTGAGAGCATGAATTGACAGCCGTTATTGGTTCATTTGATGACAGCTGATGTTGGGGTATAAGAAGGAGAATTAATCTTAATGGGTCAATTGTGCTGGTCACAGAATTGTGTTTTGATGCTTGATTCTTGCAGATCAGCTGAAAATAATAAGAGCTGTCCAAACAGGAACTTTCTTCGCTCAATATTAACGGAGATATCGCCTTTTGAAAATTGGGGTTTTTGACGTCGAAAGTTGCGGTTTGGACAGATCTTATTATTTTTAGCTAATTTACAAGAATCAAGCATCAAAACACAACTCTGTGACCAGCGCAACTGTCCTGTTAAGTGTTTAATGGTTTACTTTTCTATAAGTACCTATAGTTTTTTGTATCTGGCAAACGTACTATTGTAAGTATGCTTAGTAGATTTTAGAATATTCAAGTTTCTTCTGGTGGTGAGAAAACCACAAGCAATCGTACTTTCAGGATTCTACTAAACAGTATGAATTGAAATACCTAAGTCAACCTCTTCATTGGCATTACTTAAGAATTTATGGACCTTTTTCACTTTATTTTATGAGGCAAAGATTTACAAGCTTACATGCCTGATTTAGCCCTTTTTTGTGTATTGTAGCGATTGCTCAAATATTTTTTTTGTTTTAATGCTTTTTCAGCCTAAACCTAAGAAGAACATCAGAACGGATGCGTTTGGCTCAAAATTAGGACGTGTGCATATGACCAAGCAAGACGTGAACTCATTACAAACCAGGAAAATGAAAGGACTTAAGAAATCATACGCAGAGCGAAAGGAGCAACGTAGTAAAAAGAAATCTGCGAGTAAATAAGAACGACTGTATCGGAATACCGGAGGTATAGTTTTGAAAGACTGACTCACAATGTGAATACATTAAGGCTAAAAAATTGAACTAATTAAAAAACTCAGACCAGCCATAGATTTCTGTTCTCTAAGAATGAAGGAAACATTTGATGAAAGATATTTAAAATTATCAAATAATCAAATGAATGAATGTATAGAAAAATTAATGAAAAAATTGCTCTCATCAGAATTTTAATATGTATTTCACGGATTTATGTCAATAAATCATCATTTTCTTTATTTGCTCTGCCATTTTTCTTATTTTTGTCCAATTTATCAAGCCGAGTAATTCATGTGATGCAAGAAACGAAAATAAGATACAAATTGTTAGTAAAAGAAAATAAAATAGGTAATTAAAAATAAAATAGGTAATTAAAAATTAAAAAGAAAAAAAATAATGAATAAGAGTAAATAAAAAAATTAGAAATAAATGAAGAAAACATTCAGAAAATATACAGAAATGAAAAATAAAAAAAAATAATGAATAAGAGTAAATAAAAAAATTAGAAATAAAAGAAGATAACATTCAGACAATATACAGAAATGAAAAATAAGGATAAACTAAAATATGCAGTAAAAATCAATGAAAGAAAGACAGTCTAAGGAAATTTAGAAGATTGGAAAAATTTAAGCAGAAAGATAACTCAAAATTTCAACATTACTATGCATCCGAAACTCTCCTTTTAATTTTTAAAAACAGGCAGCCAAAAGTTTTGAAAGTATATACTAAGGCTGTCCCCGAAACTTTGGGGCTTGTCCTGCTCTGAGCAAACTATTGAAGCTATCGGGCTACAGTTTTTTTACCATTGAATGGCACAAGCCTCCTTTATATCTCTTATATTAGTAATCTTTTATATTTTCACAAATAAATTGTGTTTTAATTTATTAAAGGTGTTTGAAAAAAATCTTTGTTCTACTATTACCCTAGATACACTTCTGAAGAGCTGATCATAACTATTCAAAATGAATTTAAGATGAGATTCATGAAGCTTGGAGCTTGGGAAGCTACTGAAATAAACTGCTAGTTTCTACAAACCTTATTTTGATATCTTTAATAGTTTGATCAAAGCAGGCCAAATCTCAGTTCTTTTGGGACAGCTTATTTAGCAGTTTGAGCTTACAAGAGCGTCTTTCTCAAAACTAATTTTTTTATTGTATGCCCTTTTCCGGGAAAATTATTAAAATGTTCGGTTCCACCACTAAATCATTATTTTCACTGTTGTGGATGTAATATTTTTCATCGTCAGTGTGTACGAACTTTAGGGAAGATAAGAAAAAACTGCAGGAAGAAATCAGTACAAAAATATATTTTTAAAAAAAATTGCCATAAAAATAATAAATTAAGTAGTTGCTAAAGCTTTGCAAACATAAATATGGTGGAGCATACATTATAAACTGCAGTCTTGGTAAGTACTACTTGCTCCTCAACATTACATATTACCTTCAGATCAATCCTGAAGAGCTATTGCAGTAAAAAGTAACAAAAGATAAACAATTTAACTAATAAATAAATAGAAAATATGTAAACATCACTTGTATACTTAAATCAACATGTAAAACTTCTGACACCTAACTAAAATCACAAAGTGCTGCACTGTGCACTGAACAGACTGCTGTAAAACAGGGAACGTTCCTTAGTACATCAATTTGTCTAGATACCTATTCCATTCTGTTTTAGCGCAAAATAATGATCATCATCTATTTATTCAAGGGCCGAGATGTAAGTAGATGAGGGAGCTGGCTCATTTTCGAAAACAAAATTGGCTATTACGAAATGATGAATATATTTACTTTCAGTATTATCGAAAAATTTTACTTAATACTGAAAAATAGAAATTTTCCGCAATCTCTTCAAAACAGAGAAGTAAATTCGATCGATAAATAAAAGATTCATCAATCGTTACAGCAAGTAAAGTAAAATTTTTAGTCTCTCATCTCAGCATTTTGGTCTGTATTTTTACATTAATACTGATGGATACTTTTAACTTTTCTTGACACAGGAATTCAATAAAATAGTAAAGGTTATAAAGTCTGATATACGCAAAGATTTACTCCTTTGACTTAGTTCAGTGCCAAAATCATTACCAAAATTAGCAAAGTTAATGGAAAGAGCTCATTTAAGTCGTCACAATTATTTTCCTCTGACATATGTATTTCATAGACGTTCAGAAGTTTTAACAATAATACTGAAAACTGGCCTAACTTTAAAGGGAAAAAAGAATTAAGAAAGTTAATTCCTAAAAGCTACTTAAGATATTGAGTTTAACATGGCCAAGAGGAAGGTAACATAGAATTACCGGATAACATGTAGAGGTACAGTCATATTTTTTGGTATTCTCTCCAGCAATGCTTTACCGATTTCTTTGCCAACCACCACCCAAGAGTATTTGTCAATTGGAAAGATCCCTTCCACTGGGACTTTAAATGAGACAAGAACAGTGATGCAAAACCCATCAGTTGAGTCTCCGGGTTGGCTACAGTGTTCGACATTCAGAATTCCATGAGGTTTGTGAGGAGGTAAGTCAGCACCAAAAATTTCCTGCAAAATAGGAGGGAATAAATACATAAATAGAGGTTTACAAGGGTCATTTTTTATCACGAGCTGAAAATTGACGGTGTCACATTCTAAGGCTTTTTTTTCTATCAGTGAAAATATATTGGTCACGTAAAACAATATAAAACTTACTAATTTTAGATTCCCCTCAGTCTAGTAATTGCTGTACATATAGCAGATCTTAACATAATTCACAAAAGTCTGTATTGTGATGCTGTCATGATGGTTCCATGGTGTTTTACATATTCCGGTGTCCCCCTCTCCCACCAATATCCTCTCTATTTATGTGAGGATAGATAATACAGAGTTGGGCAAGAAAACCACTTTGACAGCTAAACCTCTTAAGTTTTTGTTTGGAAATGATGTCAAACGCCCAAATTTCCTACGTTTTTTTAGAATTATTTTTTCTGATTTAATTCCCTCTTTCTCCTGCTGAATTTGCCCTCTTTTTATCCCTATCCTATTACTGGAAGCATATACTGAAATTTCTCAGAAAGGGTTGCCAAGACAATTTTCATCCATGTTAAATAAATTTTCTTGGTTTTTAAAAATGGAAAACAAAACGAAAATGGAAGTGAAAAAAAAAGGGGTATCTCAAAGAAAGATAGAAAAATCTGCAACTGCCCTACATAGGTACTCTTGAGAATGGGTCACTAATCCTTGGGTAAATTTTGGCTTGTAAAATAAACTTTCCTGATGGTAAAAGATACATAGAATACAGCGTGTGCAATAAAAACGTGAGAAAATAACTCTGGGACCGAGGTGTACACTGGTCAAAAAGAGTAACTTTTCTGCAAATTTAAAATGCTCCGGTTCCGCGCAAGACTGAATAATATCGTCCATCACCAATCAGAAGCAAGCACAAAAAGTTTTTCCTCGCACAAGATACATAAAAACAATCAATTAAAAAGCTCGGAGAGATCCTAATTACTCCTACTGAATAGCTAGGTTAAAAAGTTTGGGTTAGCTGTTTTCTGTGGGAAAATATTGTTCAACCCAAAACTAGATTCACAACTAGACATTTAAGAAAATACATTTTTCTAAAAAATTTACCATCATAAATTTTCGCAAAACAGAGTGCAGGTTACGATTGTGATTGATTTCACAAAATGGAAAGTGCGCCTCTGTTTTTTCTGACAGCAGAACATGCACATCATTGCTGAAACAAGAAAAAAATTAGAAAAAGAGTGAAAAAGAAACCAGACAAAAATCACAGGAAATTGCAAGCTATCTGTAACACAGTTGAATTTTTCATGTTAATTCTGGAGATCGAATTTATGATGCATTAGCCGTTTCGCAAGTTCCCTGAAGAAACTTTTCTGGCCAACTAGAGTCCTCTTTCTCATTTTGAAACCTCTGAGTAAAAAATGCACTGGGTAGGTAGAAATGACTTATTTCAAGCCTCTTAGGAGAGGTGCTCATTACATTAATGTACCCTGCAAAATTTTTAGCACATGTTAAGTCTCATTCAAAAAGTACACTCCAGAAAGAAGGTGTAACATTTTTTTTCCCAAGATCATTGAGATCTTTGAGTATTTAATAATCCAAAGAAGTTAGCTACATTGGACCATTGAACAAGGTACAAATTTTAGCATTCTGATACATGTTTCCTTAATGTAAGACACGATTCTTGCATTCGAAATTATAAAAATCAACTCCCAACTAAGATATAAATGTTTTAATTTTACATTGGTCACAGGAATTGCCCGTTCGCAAGAAACACGATACTCTACAAGAGTCAAATCGCGCACTACAATGGTCTTGGTAGGCTTCTCAATCAAACATTGTTCATTTTCCACCCTTTATTGTTCAAAGTGTAAACAATTTGCTGTAGCTGAGCTAAAGTATCGAGATTGAGGCTGTCATATTTTCACATCACTGAGACTGTCACAATAACGTTAAGTGTGCGATTAAACTCAAATAGATTATGATTTTTTTCATGAGCGAAGTTCGATTTTATGCATTGAAATACGTTAATATTTTCAGTAATTTTTGGTGTACTAATCAAGTTTTTCATGCAATTTGAATGAAAAAACATGAATCATAATTCTTAAATTCGCACCTTGCCTAGAGGTCAATGGATCTTGAACTTCCTTTTAAAGTCTCTGAATTTTAGGAGAAAATAAGATTTACCTGCTTTTTTGCACACTGCAGATCACAAGCCTTAACAATAATTTTCTGTGGCTCACAGAGACAGCTGGTAGCAGGGGTCCATGCCAAGGTTTTTCCAGCTGTTTTTGACTGTAATAGGTTCTGGCATGCTCTATGATAGGATTGATGTCATTGCCCCTTAAATTCACTTCACCCAAATCGTTGATCCATTTAGCCTGAAGTGATTCAGCATCAGCATCAGCAGGGGTCTTCAGTCTACCCCCAACTATTAAGCCAGTCATCACAAACCTAAACCAACCTTTACTTGCACATTCCACCATTAACAAGGTGGTTGGTTCCATTTCTAGGCCTGTTTCTTCCAACACTTCACGTTTGACAGCATCCTGAAACATTAAAATGAAACCATCAAACTCTCAGAAGAAGTAGAAAAGTCTCAAGACTTGTAATTTTAGATAGTTGCTTAGTTTTATAGATTACCAGCAGTTCCAGGCTTACTTCAGCGAGCTTTCACAGTCAGCCGAGTGGCTCTCAACTAATGGAACCCTAATTTTTAACCACAACAAGACTGCTGCTGTTACCTAAGGGGCCCTTCAAAATCTCTGAAAACATGATATCAGCAAAAAACCAAGAATTAAGTCAGAGCCCCAGGAATTGAACTTATTTGTTGAACTTTTCCATGGGCTTAAAACACTTCATAGGTAAATAATGTGTTTGACACCAGATGTTACTTAGTGAAGAAGGGTGGTGGAGAAAACAAAAAATTTCCACAAAACTTTAATTTGTTCAGATTAAACCTAAATTACTTATTAAACATTTTATGAATTTTGAGGCTTCCGACAGTGCCCTTCAATTGGGTTCTGTCACAGGAAAAAAAGCTTATTCCCAAGGCAGTATGAGTATTTTTCCCAGCCAATCAGCAAATATTCCATCCATGAATGAAAAAAACCTAGTAAAATCAGCGGAAACGGAAATGAAAATGCTCAATTTAAAAACCTCAGGAAATTAAACTACTTAATCTCCATCTTCTTTACCCTAAAAGAGTACCTTACCTGGCCAAAAAAAATTCAGGGAAAACATTTAAATCCAACCAATCTTGATGGACTCAGAAATTTGAGTTATGGATCTTGTCTAAAGCTGGAACTTTTATGAACAAAGCTTTCTCCAAAAAGCAAAACTAAGAAAAGGTGATAGCATTGTACGTGATCATTAGCTAAGATAAATGTATTGATGGATACATGTAATAAAAAACTACAGGGTATCTATTAATAAATGCACCCTGTTTCCCAGAATAAGAAAACTATATTTTATAATTATTAAAATGATTTATTTTGAATTACAACAGCACACGCCATGGGCTTAAGTAGAGTTATAGTTTGTAAACTATCATTTTTTTTTTTTTTTTTTTTTTTTTTTTTTTTTTTTTTTTTTTTTTAACTTTAATTAGGAAATTTTGTACCACTGAGAGTGCAAATAAAAAAGTTCATCTGTCAAAAGTAGCAGTGCTGCTATTCTTACCTCAATATTTTCTCCAGGATCAATTCTTCCAGCAGGAAGATACCACTGACCCGCACAAGAGCTCTTTGCTTCTTGAATCATTAGTACATCTCCTTCATTATTAATTATTACAGCCATCACAATGTATGTTACTGTTTTATTGATGACAGGTGTGTAATCAGATGGTGTGGAGGGGACGATGCCTTTAGCAACTGAAAAAATAACAAGATTTATCACTACTTTCCTTTGATTGTTGTAAGACAAGTAAAGTGCCAATCACATTATTCCTCCAAAAGACTTTGAAAATGTGAGGAAATTGGGATGTCATTTGACTCAAGGACAAAATTTTCAAAACTGTTTTGTCTATAAAATATTGTAAAAAAAAGTTGCCGAATTTTAAAGATGAAAAATAAGAAACATCCTATTAGAATACTTTGAATTTCTTTAAGTCTTCACAATAATCAGTTAACTTAGTCAACTTGTCTGGGGAATATCAACTCACCATCCTCTACTTTGTACGGTCTCAGGGTGCTGAGTGGAAAAGTGTGTTGTTGACGCATGTGTTTTTGATCAGTTGCTCAGTGATTTCTTTACTTCAACCCTAATTCTCTTGCATTTACGCCATTGCCAAATTCTCCATGTGAATAATATTCCAAGAGAGATTAAAGCCATGATGATTGTAGGTCTTCTTTTGGAAATTGAAATGAGAGTGGACTTTTTGAAACCCAGCGATCGAGATCCGCATTTTCGCAGTATCACCGTCGCTTTTTCCCTCAACAACTGCTGTTTTGTCAGAGCCATGAAACTAGACAGTAACATTGTTCATGTGGAGAAGGAAGTTAATGAGAATCTATGATGCTTACCGAAAGCTTCATTTTGATCAGCCAGGGTGAAATCACACAAATCTTCATTTTCTTCGATTGCTTGGCCACTGAGGAGTCGTGATAAGTTCTGTTCCAACATGATAAAAGGATACTCAAATGAAGGCACAGAAACTCGACAGACAGAGATAACACAGCATCAAACTAGGAGCTGTAGACAATTTTACGAAATACTAATAAATAAAGAAGAATTCACTTGCTATGGAACTTTCTAAGTGAAAATGGTGAAAATTGCTTGGCACAAGAGAAGAGATTTTTGACATGTCAACAAAAAGAAAACACAAACATTTGACTCATGGAAACAGTATAGATAGAGGTCCTTACCATATAAGCAGAAGGAATTAACCCTCCCCTCTCATTCTTTGCGCAACAGGTTTCTATTTTTCCCCCATTCAAACTTTAAAAACGTTGTTTTTCCCCCTCAAAAAATTATCTTTTGAAAATTATGAGATTTTTTATGGTTTTGACAGGAGAGTCTACGGCGAAAACGAAGACAAAACTGACAAAAGTTTCAAAAGTTTCTAGTTGTTCAACGTGTTGCGTTCAACCCCTGAGCGTGAGCTGAGCAGTCGGAAATGCTTACTCTTCGAATCCGATTATTCTGTCCCGTCTTGTGTGGCACTGATTCACTGATTGCAACATCGCGCACTATTTACTTTTCTATTTTTTACTTAATTCTTCTAAATTCGCCAGTTTAAGGTACACATTTTCTCGGTTTTTCTAATTGTTCGTGACGTTATCGAAACAGTAGTCTCACATGATACAGTGACGAGTTCTATCGCGCGATAATCAACCCCATCATTCACATTCATGGTCAGTGTGAATTGACGGTTCACTGAGTTCCTGCAAAAAATTTTGAATTTAAAAGTGATATCTCTCCGTAAGCAAGTATGTTCTCGTGGATGAGTAAAGATGACTCAAGGAAGTCTCCAGAAATTTGCGAAACAGTATTGGAAGGCCTCAAGAAAGTATACAAATCCAAACTACTGCCTCTAGAAACTGCCTATCAGTTTCACGATTTCCACTCACCGCAGCTAGATGATCCAGATTTTGATGCTAAGCCCATGATCCTGTTGGTGGGTCAATACTCCACCGGTAAAACTACATTTATCAAGTATTTGTTAGAGCGTGATTTTCCTGGTATCAGAATCGGGCCAGAACCAACAACTGATAGATTTATTGCGGTTATGTATGATGAGAAAGAAGGAATTATTCCAGGAAATGCCCTTGTTGTAGACCCTAAGAAACAATTCCGGCCTCTCTCTAGGTTTGGTAATTCATTTTTAAATAGATTGCAATGTTCCTTAGTTAATTCTCCTGTACTCAAAGGTATCTCAATTGTGGATACGCCCGGTATCCTTTCGGGTGAAAAGCAGCGAGTTGACCGTGGATATGACTTCACTGGCGTTTTAGAATGGTTTGCGGAACGAGTGGATAGAATCATTTTGTTATTTGATGCCCACAAACTGGATATATCTGATGAGTTTAGACGTGCTATTGAAGCCTTGAAAGGTCATGACGACAAAATTCGGATTGTGCTGAACAAAGCAGATATGGTGGATCATCAGCAACTGATGAGAGTTTATGGAGCCCTCATGTGGTCTCTAGGAAAAGTTCTTCAAACCCCTGAAGTAGCTCGAGTATACATTGGTTCCTTTTGGGACAAACCTCTTCGATATGACGCAAATAAACGGTGAGTACACCTTAGTATGTATCAATTAGAACTGAATTTACCGTTACCTTGTCAAAGCCCTCATAAATTTTTGAAGGATGTCCAAATAATTGATGAAATTCCGTAGAAACCCTGAATCCAGGGGCTTAGAAATTGGGAGAAACCCTGTCCTTAAAATTCATAATTTCTTCTACCAAGTTTGTTCAAGTATTTCTTGATTAAAATTGGTCTAAAATATGCCTTTTTATGAAAACCTTCTTTTTTATCAGTATCTTCAAGTAAATGTCTTACCTCAGATTGAAGCCCAAATAGAAAAAAATTACTACAAGTGCTAGTTGTTGGTTATGGGAGTGGTGTATAATTACAGATTCCTGTATCTTGTGTGAATTGAAAAAATTATCAGTTTACATGGTCTGGTTCACTAACCTTGACATTATATTTCTCCACTGAGAAAGCTTGTTAGGTGTCATCTGTCCGCAGCTTCTCATTTTCAAAAGGCACCTTGTCCCTGATTTAATATTTGATAAGATTCAATATATGTTCAATTACACTGCAAAATGTAAAGTTTGTCCCACTTTCTTAGAGTAAAGAGAGGGAGAAAAAAAATCATCACCCCTGGAAATTGTCTCACAGCCAGAAATTTGCCTCGTGTTGGTGGATCTTGAGATTCAGCCTTTTTATACCTCCATCTGGAACATCAGTCAGCTCTGTGATTGTTCAAAAAACATTGATCGCTCCGCAAAATACTGGCATCATTAACAAAGGAAATTTTTTCTGAAAATAAAGAAACGCAGGAACAGGTATATATCTTTCCAAGTTTTGTCTTTATTTGGAAACTCCTCTTTTTTTTCAGGTTATTTGAAGATGAAGAGCAAGATTTATTTAAGGACCTGCAGTCTCTTCCTCGAAATGCAGCTCTACGAAAACTGAATGATCTCATCAAAAGAGCAAGACTGGCAAAGGTAAGGAGTAATTTTCTCCTATTAAAAGTACAGAATTGTGGGTACTTGCATGACTGAAATGTGCTTTGCATGTATTTTTTGTTCAAAAAGTTTTTTCGATTTTTCCATTTTTTAAAGGGGGATGTGTGATTTTTTTCTCTTTTATTTATAGCAAAATGTGGCAAAGTTTAAAAGTAGACGGAATCTTTCACAATTCGGGGCACTGAAAGTACTATTAGCAGAGGCACAGATCAGGAGGAAGTACTGTCAAATTTCGAATTTTAGGCTCCATTTTAAAAACAATGTCCGGCCGCAAACCTTCCCCCTCTCTCCCTCGCTCCTTAAGGTTAATCTTCAGCTGTAGTTCCGAAAAAATCCACCACGTCGCGCTGCTAAAATCCGACTCCAAAATCAGTGATTATTTAAATGTCACAATAGGTATCTTAAATTCTAAGACTCATAAGTTCTAGCAGCATACGTCTGGAACCCTTAGAAACAAACGCGAGCTTTGAAAGTCTAATAATAAAAGCTGTAAATTGATCCCAGTTTCTCTTACGGGATATCTGTAAGTGCGAGAGAGACAGCTCACGGTGGGAGAGAGATATCTGCCAACTGCTGAGAGCGATCAAGCGCAATTAGTTGCATCAAGGTCATCATGCTTAACCCTACTTTTTTCTGGGATCAAATTGCAGAGCTTCAGAAATGACTTTTCACGTTGTTTTTAGGGTTAATAGGAAGAAGAATGTAATGGCTAGAACTTATAACTCTTCGATTTAAACAGAAATTCCTTCAACTTTTATAAAAGCTCAAGGACTCACATGGAGCTGTACGGACTCTAAAACACAGCGGTGGCGCCCCCTGCGCAGAGAAATTTCGTACTTCACGCAGCTGTAGATAAACCTTAAGAGCAGGTCACAAGATGAGGTCCCGGGTCGTTTTTTCAAGCCAGTCCAGTTCTCGTGTCTTCTCTCACATGATTATGATCATAGAATCCAGATTTCATGTTACAAATCTATTCCAACTTAAAGGTATACCTTTGATGTCTAGTATATGGATAACCAAAGTTCGAAAAAACGTATCTTGGTATGGACATCTCCTTTTAAACTTTATTTTTTCTATAGAATAAAAGGCAACGTAATGTCTTGAAAACTTCCTTGATCTTGCCTCTAAGGATATCCTCTAAAAATTTGAAGCTAATTGAAGTTGGCTTGTTCCTCTCCAAAAAAATGAAATGAGTTCGGAAATTTTGAAACACCGCAATGGAGGTACATGGTTTCACAAGTAGGCTGTTGATATGATGGCTAATATTTGCACTGTAATTGAAAAATTTGGTTTCGTCTTAAGTATGATTTTCAATGGTATGTAAGTAGTTATTCATGATGTTAAAAATGCATATTAATTATTGTTNNGGGGGTCGCAAAATTCGAACTAGTGGCCGAAGGTGGTCAGGTTCCTGAAGCAATTGAGAAGGGACAGATTTACATTTTTTCACCTTAGGCTGGATTTGGGTTGGAATCCTAAAAGTGGGTGCTCTGGAGCCGGAGGAAGGGGGTCCCAGAGCTTTCCAGACAAAAAAAAACTGGACCCGGAAAATAAAAGTCATCAAAGACACAAAAAGTAATTTATGCATAATACATAGGTGATGAAGTTTAGAATGAAGTCTTAAAAATGTAGTAGTAATGTAGTCGTAGTATTGTATTCTAGTGGGAAATCCGGTCCTACGCTGTTGAGTTGATGTGGAATGACCCCGCCCCTAAAGTAATTAGAGGAGCATCTAAGCTTGAGACTTTAACACGTCTATTTTATCTGAGAAAATTTCACAGTAAAGATATAGGAGCACTATGTTTCAGAGGCCTATCTCCTTGCTGGAGGCTGGGCGGAACTTGGGGAGGGGGGGATCCCCCCCCCCCCCCAGAAACCTACTCGGTCTCTCCCAAGAAATGTGAGGGATTTGAAGTGCGAGACATATGTCATATATGTCATGACATATGTTTCATCATTTTGAAATTTCAATTGGTTCAGTTTTTCGGAGCAAAAAACTCAAAATTTCTCATGATTCGAGTCAATTTTTCAAAAAAATTTCGAGGAAAAACCCCCGGACCCCTCTGAAGTCAGAAAAATTTCCCAAACGCTCCTCTGGAGCTTAGTGAGCTCTACAGATCCCATTTGGTAATGTGTCCGTTAGTTCCCCCATCACAAAGTTCCTAGTTTTGCCCATTAGGCCAGGCACCACAGCTCCATACGGGGGGTAATATTGAATTAAATGCTGGAAAGCTGGAAATTTTTTTAAAAGACGTATTATGAGGTCCTTAAATAAGGGTTAATTTTGCACCATTCCTGAAGTGGAGCTTTAGCCGCCATCTTGGATTTTTAGGCCTAAAATCGCTATTTTTTCGGTTTTTGGCCTTTAAGTCAGTGAAAAAGTCATTTTTTCGTCAAAATACCTCAGTGCTAAAATCAAGCCTGTAAAATTTCCTATTAAAAAGGTGGTATACGTTTTTTCCATACGACCCACCGTTTTCGAGTTATGATCATCGCAAAGTTGGGCTCTTAAACTCAAAATCGACCAAAGCCCGACTTCCAAGTTTCCAGTGCGCTACAACTTAACAAAAACCGAGGAAAGATAGGAAAACTCATTCTGAAACTAAAATCTGTGATTTCTCAAAAATTAATCCCAAAATCCAAATGCGTGGAGGGGGAGGGGCAAGATGTCCCAGTGCCGTAGCGCGCCGCTGCTCACGCGCACAGTTCGTTAGCTTTTTTGGTGATTGAAATGAAATTGCAAAATGATTCTTTGCTTTTCTTCGGTGAAGCGTTACAGAACTCAACCTGCAACTTAAGTGCCCTTAGATCACCTGGTTCCTTTCTGTTAGTTGCTACAAAATTGTTCGTAGTTTCAGCTGTTAAAGCCATAGAAATAAAGCGACGTACCCATTTAGCAGATAAAAGGAGTCACTTACAAAGAAAAAAAGAATAGTAAGTTTCTCCAATTGACAGTTGAACATTTATTTAAAAATTCACTGAAATACAAAAAAAAAAATCATGTTTAACACCTGGCAGAGGTTCATCTTTGCCGGACAATCTACACATGAGATCCTTACTTTTCTTCCTCATCCGTGCTATCCTCATCTTCGATGATATCGGCCACGTTTGAGCATGATCTACCTTCGCAGTTTTTGCAAAGTAAAGAGCAGTGTAAGCCTGCTTTTCGGCAGGACCAAGAATTTTGACAGCCCTACACACATTTGCATGAAATTAATTTTAAAAGCTCTTGAGGCGCCGGATCTTTCTTCATCGGAATCGGGAATAATCCAATTTTACAATGTCTCTACCCCTTACTGTAATAGAGATATTTCGTGACCATATACCACATCTGCATTTGTAATTAGACTCTAAATGAATGCAAACATGCTGAATCTGAAGAAGGGGGCAAGGAAGCTAAATTTGGTGCACTTTTGCTTATCGCTTGTGTGAAGCACTATGGTACCTAAATTGATTCAATGATACATCACCTCGAGCACCGTAGAGGGAAAGAAACAATTTTTCCCCTGCACTAGCTACTGCCTCTGATGAAGCATTTGGTTCTTTGAAAATTTGAGCCGCTACTTTTAAGCTCTCATCTTTTTGTAACAATTTGAAGAGCTTATGTTTTCCTTGCCTAAAAATTGCAGATGTGGTATCACAACCGGTGAATGCGTGTAAATGAAACATTATCTGCTAAAGTTAGATTCTGGTTCAGCGAGTAAGTTTTATTTGGAACTTTACCTTTACCTGGCTTCAGAAAATAAATGTTTTTCTTAGAGTTGCTCGAAGCTGTAAGGATAAGTAAGAGATCAGAGTCTTCACTTACAATTATGACTGATGGGGAATTTTCAGAGCACTCGATTTACAATGAGCACGTCAGCATCCTCCTTTGCTTGTTTAGTTTTAATACCTGCACTCTCAAACCTCTCTCTTAGTAAAGCTAACAGTCGACTTTTATTTTTCTCGTTCGCGAGGAATTTACTTAGTGTGACAGTCACTGACATGTTCTCTTCAAAAATAATTTCTGGAGATAATAATGATTTTGATCTCCGACAGCGTTCCGCTGTTTTGGTCCTCTTTGCTGCCCTGTCCTCCGGATATCCGACAAACACTACTGACGTGTTAGAGGAATAATTTTTCTGTACATACTCAACATGTTTATCAAGTATTTGGGAGAATATTTCTTGCCGATGCCAGACAATTATGTGAACCATAAATCCTCCATCAATCACACGGACAGAACCTTTCAATTTGACTGCAGTTTCACAAGTTGAAAAGAAAGTCATACCTAAATCACTAGGTTGGACATTTTCCGCAATTCGGATTCGTCAAAAGGAGCTAATGGAAAAGGAATCAATTCGAATTGAAAATAATCCTCAAATTTTTTGTCTATGATTTTTTAAGGAAAGAAATCTTTTGAAAAAGAAATGTAGGATTAATGGGTATCACTTCATTATTTAATTTAACGCTGCAGTCTGTTGCAGAAATAGGTACATAACACCCGGTTGCTCCTTTTAAATTTGATTTCACCAGAAGTGCTCTCTAGCGCTCTCATTTGCGCCATACCAACTTCACGAGTCTTATGACAATTAATCTTTGGATCAGACCGGGAGTCTCTAAACCAATAAAAATGATTGCCATTCGACACTTAGTAGCTGATAATACAGCACGATACGACACGGTGTGTAAAAACAGTGCGCGCGCGGCCCACACATTCGGTCACCGTGCCGCCCCCCCCCCCCCGCATTTGGATTTTGGGATTAATTTTTGAGAAATCACAGATTTTAGTTTCAGAATGAGTTTTCCTATCTTTCCTCGGTTTTTGTTAAGTTGTAGCGCACTGGAAACTTGGAAGTCGGGCTTTGGTCGATTTTGAGTTTAAGAGCCCAACTTTGCGATGATCATAACTCGAAAACGGTGGGTCGTATGGAAAAAACGTATACCACCTTTTTAATAGGAAATTTTACAGGCTTGATTTTAGCACTGAGGTATTTTGA